GAAACAACATTGTTTGATATATATGAAATGAGCCAAGTGATGAAATACTTAAAGGGACACTCTGGTCACCATAACAACGTCATCTCTATAAAGTTGTTTTGGTGCCAGGAGGAACCTAGGCGTACTCTTACCTTAAGGGGTTAAAGGTCCTTGTACCTTTATATTAATGGGGATCTACTGATTGGCTTAGAGTGTCAGCTGACCACTTTAGCCAATCAGCGGTGCCCCTGCCCCGCGACACTTCACGTTTCCTGTAACTGAGATTCAGTAGCCGGATGCCACCTGGGGGACCTAGAGATCTACGCTGCAGGCAACTTATGGGTTTAATACATTTGAGAACAGTTTAACCCCTTAAGATAAGAGTGCACCTGGGGGCCTCCTGGAACCATAGCAACTTAATTTAGATGATGAAGCTTTTATTATGACCGGAGTGTCACAATATGATCCAAATGGTTGAAGTTTTAAATATATCAAAATAGAAAAAAGAAGCTGAGGGCATGGGGTTCTGAAGATACAGTGTATTTATATGTGAATGTTTGGTCCACTATTCAGTTGTTTGTGCCTCAAGCTCAACAGTTCAATTTATTACAGCCCCTAAAAGTTGTTTTTCTGTATTGGGTGGGTTGCTTTATGAAAGACACATAACAAGCTTTCTTAATTATTATTATTATTATTATTTATAAAGCGCCAACAAATTCTGCAGCGCTCTACAATAGGTGGACTAACAGACATGTATTTGCAACAAGACAAGTTGGACTCAAAGGATCAGAGGGTGTTGAGGGCCCTGCTCAAACAAGCTTACATGCTAGAGGTAGTTAGATATATTGGCGGGTGGGATGGGGTGGGATGTATTTCATGTACAGGGAAAAAGTAGGTTACTAGAATAGTTTACAATGAAGGGTTAGTTTTTTTTAAGATGACACAGCTGCAGGAGAGAATGCAGGGTGAATTACCAATATGCAGGTAGGGAAAGCTATTAACAGTTTAATTGATCTTTTGAAGGATCCGATACTAGGTGAGAGTCTACTGGAGCAAGGAAGAGAGTACCATAGGAACGGCGCAGCCCTAGAGAAATCTGGAAGGTGAGCGTCAGATGTGCGAGTATGAACAGAGAATAGAATTGGGGTGATGGATGTGTGCTTGAAGGGTAAAGGAAATTTGCCAGAAATAGAGATAGATTGAATATTTTAGTGAGGGGCAGAGCGGGAGAAGAAGACAGAGCCTGAGTGAGATGTGAAGGAAATGGATTGAGGGAACAAGTGATGGGGCTGGCGGACTGAAGCAGAGCAGAAGCCTCTGCTGGCATAGCGGGTACAAGTGAACATAGGAGGGAGCAAGTTTGTGGGAAGTATTGGTAGGGGTATGTGAGAGATTAGAGATTTCTTTCCTGATTGCAGAAATCTTCCCAGTGAAGTGAGTTCATAGGAATTGGGACAGCAATAGTGCGAAGTTGAGAATTAAAAGTGTGATCTAGGCATTTGGGTTCTCGGAAGAGCATGGTTAAGAGAGAATTCAAGTAATTTTCTTTCGCAGAGGAAAGAGACAAACTTAATCAGGGCTGCCATCAGAAATTTTGGCGCCGTTGACAAAGCTTAAGGTCTGGGCCCCCGGGGCACGCCACCTGAGTCCTCTAACAGGGCTCTTCCTGGGTCCGCCCACAAGGATGCAGTACTGAATGTGGTGTGTAAAGGGGATGTAGAATTAGATTGTGTGTAATGTACGTGCGTGTGTAAAGTGGACGCAGAGTGCAAGTGTAAAGTGGATGCAGAGTGTATAGTGGATGCAGAGTGAGTGGAAAATGGATGCAGTGTGTATAGTGGATGCAAATTTTACATTTGTGTAATGGAGGTAGTGTTTATGTGTATTAGGAACCGTGTGTGCTGTGGATGCAGTGTGTATAGTGAACGCAGAGTGTGTGTTTGTGTAGTGGATGTAGTGGATTTGTGTAGTGGATGTAGTGGATGCAGTATTTGTGTATAGTGAATGCAGAGTGTGTGTTTGTGTAGCGGATGTAGTGTATGTATTAGATGCAATGTTTATGTATAGTGAATGCAGAGTGCACATGGAGCATTGCCATGGTAACCAGTGGCAACACTCTGACTGCTGCGGGTTTCGCGAGAGTTAGAGAGAGGAGCTGTAAAGTAAGGACAGAGTGTGCTGGGCCCTCTGCTGCACATATATATATAGCGATAATCGCTATATATATGTGCACGTAGGGAATGCGGGGCTCGAGACTGCCAGAGCTGTCCGGGCCCCCCGGGACTGCCAGGCCACTGACAACCGTCATGATTGTCACTCCCTGATGGTGGCCGTGAACTTAATACATAACAATGTAAATAACAGAATTATAAACTTCTGAGGTATCTCCCTCACATATTAAAAGCTTCACAAACCTCACAGTTCTCATTGTCGTTTGTGCACATCTATATCCTGATTTTCTAGAATGTTAATGTTGACTGTGTCATGAAAGCAACCACTAGACCTGATGGCACACCTGACAAAAACAAACAACAAAACAGAAAGAAAAAAAACCAACTTTGTTAATTTTAAAATAAATTGATCCTTATAAATTATTTTTCATTTTGCATCTTTTAAATGTCTCCATTAATTGTTTGCATGGTATGTTTTTGTTTAACTGTTTTGTGTTTTATTCACCTCCATCTTTGCTTATATGAATGACTCTCATTTATATAGTTTGCAATCAGCTAGGAACAACTTTGCAGAATTTATAAGGTTACTGTCTGTTAAATTGCATCCTGTCAGTCTAAGCACCATAACAATGTTACATCACTTAAAAGCTGATGACAGCGGAGAACTCAGCACTCTCTCTCTCTGTTCTGATAGTGGCTTACAAATTGTTGCAGTGGTATGGCTGTTTTTAGTTTTTAAAGCAGTTTCACTCATTGAGTGTACTGAGTAAAACTCCAGTTTAAGATAAATGAATTTACACTGACTGCCCCCCAACCCACAATAACTCCCCACACACAAACTGCCCCACAATACACACAGACACTGCTCCCCAATATATATACACACACACACACACAGCCCCCCAATACACACACACCCTCCCTTATTACATACACACACACACTGCCCCAATACACACACACCCTTCCTAAATACACATGCACATACACACACACACACTGCACCCCTCACACACACTGCCCCCAATACACACACACACTGCCCCAATACACAAATGGTCCCCCAATACACACACACATTGTGCCCCAACACACACACACTGCTCCCCAACACACTTTTTCCTAATACACACACAACACTGCCCCCAATACTCACACACACTGCTCCCAATACACACACACACTGCACCCAATACACACACACACACACTGCACCCCTCACACACACACACACACTACCCCAATATACACACAGCCAGCAGGGGAGGGAGAGAGGACCTGGGAGCTCGGCCTGCAGCTCCTCCGCCTCCTCCTTTCCCGAGCACAGAGCATTGCTGCAGTTACCACGGCAATGCTCCAGTTCTCGCACGAGTGAACTCTAGCCCAGGAGCTGAAGGCTAGAGTTCACTCTCACCACTAGGACAACCAGGGCTTTCCCACCAGGTAATAAGGGAGGGGGGATATAAAAATTATTTATTTTAATTTAAAAAAAAAAACATATTTATCTGCCCCCCAATAACACCCCACACACAAACTGCCCCACAATACACACACACTGCTCACCAATACAAACACACTCACACACACCCTCCCTAAATACACACACACTGCCCTAATACACACACACCCTCCCTAAATACACACACACACACACACACTGCCCTCAATACACACACACTGCATCCCAATACACACACACTGCCCCAATACAAACACACACATACTGCCCCCCCACACACACACTGCTTCCCAATACACACGGCACCCCTCACACACACTTCCCCCAATAAATACACACTGCCCTAATACACACACAGCACTGCCCCCATACATACACAAACCCACTGCCCTAATACACACACTGCACCTGTATACACACACTGTCTTCCAATACACACACACTGCACCCCTCACACACACACACACACTGCATTCCACACATACTGCACCCCTCACACACACACACTACTGCCCCTATTCCCTACTACTGTCCCTATTCCCTGGGAAGGCACCATGGCACGCCCCACACACAAACTGCCCCAAAATACACACACACACTGCTCACCAATATAAACACACGCATACTGCCCCAATACACACACACACACACCCTCCCTAAATACACACACACTGCCCCAATACACACACACCCTCTCTAAATACACACACATACTGCACCCAATACACACACTGCCCCAATACACACACACACTGCCCTCAATACACACACTGCATCCCAATACACACACACTGCCCCAATACAAACACACACATAATGCCCCCCCCCACACACACTGCTCCCAATACACACACACGGCACCCCTCACACACACTTCCCCCAATAAATACACACACACAGCACTGCCCCAATATATACACAAACACACTGCCCTAATATACACACTGCACCTGTATATGCACACTGCCTTCCAATACACACACTGCATTCCACACATACTGCACCCCTCACACACATACTACTGCCCCTATTCCCTACTACTGTCCCTATTCACTGGGATGGCACCATGGCACTCCTGGCACCATAACCACTACAGAGAGCTGTAGTGGTTTTGTGCCTGGATTATTTCTTTAAATAATCTACCAGTGCCCCTCCCAAATTAGGTTCTGGATCTACCCCTGGTCGCTGGGAGGGTGCCCACGTGTCCTGGATGGCTCGGCACAGTCCAGCATTTTGAGAGTCTGTCCCAGGTCCTGCGCACCCTCATTCCAAACCAATGTAGTGTCCCAGAACGAGCTGAGCTGCACCGCTGCTACAGTGGTGGATCCAGGGGGGGCAACGGGGCAATTGCCCCTCCCGAGAAATTAGTGCAGCTCCCATAGGGGAACTACCTCATCAGGGGCCCGGTCAGGTGCTGTAGCACTTTGGCAGACCAGGCCCCTATAATGTTGCAGAGAGTGCTGGGATGCTGGGAGGAAGTGACTGTTACTTCCTCCCAGCATACAGACCACGCGGGCTGACAGGACACTGAAGAAGCAACTGAGATAGGAGGAGGAGGAGGCAGGAGAAAGAGCCCTGCAGCTTCTCCTTCAGCAAGCCCCAGGAATTAACCTCCCTGCAAGCAAGAGGTATGGAAGCAGAGAATGGTTAACAAAAGTAAATTGAACTTTGTGTGTTTGCCCATGTGTATGTTTAGGTATGTATGTGTGTGTCAGTGAGTATCTATGAGTGTCAGTGTGTATCTGTGAGTGTCAGTGTGTATATCTGAGTGTCTGTACATCTGTGAGTGTCTGTGTATCTGTGAGTGTCAGTGTATATATATGAGTGTCTGTACATCTGTGAGTGTCTGTGTATCTGTGAGTGTCTGTGTATTTGTGATTGTCAGTGTATAAATATGAGTGTCTGGCTATAGCTATATGGTGGAACTGAATAACTCATATCTGTTTGGTGAGATAGGTGATTTTAAGTAGCCATATAAAAATGCATTTTTATGTGTGCGCTGTTCCTTAATCTGTATTAGTTAAGGAAAGAGTAAGTTCTTCTGCCTACAATTTCCTGAATTTGGAAGGAGCGGACGTGGTATCTTGTTGGAGGATTTTGTAAAATGTAGATAGTAAGTGTAGATTACAGCAATTTATCTTTGAATTAATGTGTTTATTTTGCCTTATACAAAGTTACCACATTTGATGTATATGTATTCTATATTTTATTTCTATTTTTATTTATTTATTATGTTTTCCCATTTGTTGGAAGACTTTTTTTGAAGTGTATCCCTAATGAGTTTTTTTATGGTATTTCAGTAAACCTGGAGCGTTACGCAAACAGCTCTACTTTGCTGAAAATACAAGAGCTGGTCAATAATGTAACGAGTATGCACTAATGTTCCTCTGCGTGTCACTTTGTCCCCTGGTAACTGTAATTCTTACCCTTTGCAAATCAGCTTGCTGAGGATACTTTCTCTGATTGCCACCAAGGGACTGGCTTCATTTCCCCCCTTAGCCATTTGTTCAGCTGAGCCCGTAGATCCTTCCACTGAGGATGGGTATCTGCCTATCAGATTGTTTCCCATTGTGTCACCGCAGTATTTAACAAACTACTAGTTGTCTTGTTACTGTATCCAGTCTTGTCTTGGGTATGCTATTTATCACTCCACTCAGTATTTGGCATATGGTTGCGCAATTCCACTGAAGAAGCTCAGGCTGCTAGGCAAGTAGCCCTAAGGTACCAGGGTGCTGTGATAGCTCCAGGAAATCCTGAGTGGCACGAAGAACGGACAGAGGTGCAGATGCAATAACAGATTCATATCTGAACCAGGCACTCTGTTCCTGTTACACACACCTTAATTAAATATGTTGTGTACACCAGTGGCTGGTGTGGGGCACCAGACTGGTCGTTTGTATTTGATTATATTCCTAAATATTTTTAATCATGAATATGAGTATGTCTATATGGCTCTACTACCTCAAAATATGTGGATAATCCCATACATAGGGAATATAAAATATAGACATACTCCTATTAATGATTAAAATAAATAGTCAATTGTTTGGCTAAACACAAATTACAAGTGTAACACAGAGTTTAGCCACAAGATGCCGCCAAATAATTACTTTTTTTTTTTTTTTTTTTACACTAAAATACAATAGGTATACATTCAATAGAAATAGAATATATAAATAGTCTATTTTTTTCATTTTATTTTCTTACCTCTCCTGTGTGGCATACATTCCTCATTCTTGGGCCCTCCACCAGAGGCCTGGGAATCTGAGAGTTTTGCGCAGTATCTGAGCTCTTCCTAGAACTGCTCACTTCTGGACAGCAATGTCAGATGTCCTACCTGGAATCTTAGTTATGAAATATTCTACTGAGCAAATTCTCCCCAGGAGTGGTGCCTGACACTATGTGGCATTTTGGGGGTGTCAGGGCAGGCATGGTCTGAGGGGTTTCTTTTATGTTTCTCAGCACTAAAATAAAGCAGTTAACAATGTAAACACCATATCTCTACCTTACTGTAGTGGTTAAGTGGCAGGCACTTCTATTAGGGCTGCTAGAGCTTTGCCTGCCTTAACTAATCAAGTGAGGGATCCGGAGAGTGAATGATGCAGTCAGCCGCTGTTTGAGCTGTGCCTGCCTGTTAATGATGGGAGTTAAAGTGACAGACATCCACCATTCAAATTGTGCCTATCACCATGTGGTTGGATACACAGTTTGCTGCTGCGACCACGCTGCATGCCCCCGAGTGCCTGCCTTATTAGGACTGCATGGAGTAGCAGCTGGGGAGTAAGTGAGCACAGTGGCAGGCACCTCATGTTAAAGCGGTGCTGCCACCACTATTAATGCCAAAATGCACCCTGCTGCTGCGAGGAGAGAAAGTCAGCTTGGTGGCGGCAGACACCTGAAATTAAAGAGCTGCTTTCCACCAGCCCAAGTCCTGAACCAAACTATGTGAGCACTGCATCCAACACAAGGCTACTAGTGCACTGAGGTAGATGATAGAGTGGGTGGGAGAGAGCTCAAGTGATCCAACAACACCAGGGGAAGTGGAATTGTGCCAACTCCACCCTCTGGTGAAAACTGGTTTCATATGTATATATTTGGGAGTCTAGCCAACTCCTTGGTTTTGCACCCCTCCCTGTCACAGGTGCCTCATCCCAGGGCCCTATTTAGCCTTGTACTGCAGAGAGCCCCAGATGGAATTTTTTCCTCAAGTAAGTGGTTAATCTCATAAGAGCAGACATTAGGCTGTTAGTGTAGGACCTGCCAAAGATGGGGTACATTGACGTTGTGGCAGGCTTATGCAATGTATGATCATATAATGTAACTAAACCCCCATTATTTTTGCCTAGATTAGGTGTTTTTTAAAAAAACTAATAAAATCTTTCAACATTGAAGTTGCTGTTTAGTGGATAGGTGAGTGCGCTGGATCTTGTGTTTTGTATTATTTGGCCCCCAGCAGCACCCCCATTTATGCATGTTCAGGTGAGTGCAGCCAACCCCCCTTGTTTCATATGTATATATTTGGGAGTCTAGCCAACTCCTTGGTTTTGCACCCCTCCCTGTCACAGGTGCCTCATCCCAGGGCCCTATTTAGCCTTGTACTGCAGAGAGCCCCAGATGGAATTTTTTTCCTCAAGTAAGTGGTTAATCTCATAAGAGCAGACATTAGGCTGTTAGTGTAGGACCTGCCAAAGATGGGGTACATTGACGTTGTGGCAGGCTTATGCAATGTATGATCATATAATGTAACTAAACCCCCATTATTTTTGCCTAGATTAGGTGTTTTTAAAAAAACTAATAAAATCTTTCAACTTTGAAGTTGCTGTTTAGTGGATAGGTGAGTGCGCTGGATCTTGTGTTTTGTATTATTTGGCCCCCAGCAGCACCCCCATTTATGCATGTTCAGGTGAGTGCAGCCAACCCCCCCTTGTTTCATATGTATATATTTGGGAGTCTAGCCAACTCCTTGGTTTTGCACCCCTCCCTGTCACAGGTGCCTCATCCCAGGGCCCTATTTAGCCTTGTACTGCAGAGAGCCCCAGATGGAATTTTTTTCCCCAAGTAAGTGGTTAATCTCATAAGAGCAGACATTAGGCTGTTAGTGTAGGACCTGCCAAAGATGGGGTACATTGACGTTGTGGCAGGCTTATGCAATGTATGATCATATAATGTAACTAAACCCCCATTATTTTTGCCTAGATTAGGTGTTTTTTTAAAAAACTAATAAAATCTTTCAACATTGAAGTTGCTGTTTAGTGGATAGGTGAGTGCGCTGGATCTTGTGTTTTGTATTATTTGGCCCCCAGCAGCACCCCCATTTATGCATGTTCAGGTGAGTGCAGCCAACCCCCCTTGTTTCATATTTATCTGTATGTATATATATATATATTGTGATAAAGTGAAGGCAGATAGGCCTATAACATTTAACCCCAGGGGGAGTATGTGTAGTATGTGTTGTAGGCAACACAATCCACCGTTTAGTTATGGGCCCCTGGGGTGGAGCATTTGGAGAGCAGGGTGGGCCAATGCTCCACTCCTCAGTTTATACACAACTGGGGGAAATAATGTCCAGGCCAGAGTTTTTTGGAGCTGTCTCCAACCCACTGCTCAGCTGCAGATAATCAGCTGTAACAGTGGGAATAAACCCCTCCCTGCCAGCCAGGTGAAGAGGGATTGCTGGCTTCCTCCCTGGAAGCAGGTAGGAGTGAGGCTGTTCTCTTTAGTAAGAGAGTCAAGGAGACTGAGCACTGGGAGTGCAAAAGGGAAGCAGTAAAGGCTGTCTTGGAGCACTGGGAGTGCAAAAGGGAAGCAGTCAAGGCTGGCTTGGAGCACTGGGAGTGCAAAAGGGAAGCAGTCAAGGCTGGCTTGGAGCACTGGGAGTGTAGAAAGGGAAGCAGCAGGCTGTCAGAAACACTGAAGTGCTGAGAGCTGGAAAAGACGCTAGGTTGGTGAAACCACTTTTTTTGTTATAGATTAAACCCTTGAGAGAGAGGGAACTTGATGTCAGTTAGTGCTCAGACCGAGCTAGGTTTTTGTTTATAGGATTTTGTTACATTTTTGTTTTTCATGTGCTGCTGTCTTTGTGGAGTTTAACTATAAAGTGACTGGAAATAAGTTGCCTTAAAAGACTGTGCATGTTTGGGCCCAAGAGGACCGTGCTACCTGCAGACAAAGATCACAATATGGTGGAGAATGCGGGCATAGTAGCACATTGAGGGTCTGTGGGTGTGCCAGTCATTCAGTAGTCTGCTTGAGGACTTTTTATTTTTGCAGACCTGTTTAAAAAAAAAAAAAAGTAGCACTGTACCTTTAAGACTGTTACCTGCTTGGTGCTATAATGGAGGACCTGCTGAAGGCTCTGGTACAGGCAACCGCTGTACAACAAGAGGCAACTGCTATACAACAAGACACCAACCATTTCATGGCTGCACAGCTTAAGAACCTGAGGGACGCTCAGCAGGAGTATAGAGCTGCCCTTACTGATGTTTTGCAGATTGCCCCCGGCAGGGTGTGTGGCGACAAGGGACCCCGTAACCAAGCTACTGACATCCTGCATAAGATGACAGAGGCAGTAGAAGAAGTCTTTAGCAAGCTGAAAAGCATGGGGGCAGCAAAGCATGATGTTGAGAAACACACAGAAGAGAGAGAACAGGAATTAGAAGGCAAGAAAGATAAAATTGAGCCTGAAAGTAGTGCTAATGTGGAAGGTGAAGAGCCAGATGAATCCTCCAAGGACCAAAAAGAGAAAAGGTTAGTAAACAGACCTGCAAAACTAAAGGAAAAGGTGGAATTGTCAAGAGACCGTGATGGTGACACTGATGACCTGCACCAAGGTATGAAAGGGCAGAAGAATCAGAAGGGGGAGCGAGGCAAACTGATTACTGAAGTTGACAAGTGATTATTTGAGAATCAAAACGTTGCAGCTTCACGTGAAAGCCTCAAACTTGCTCTGAGTGGCATCACAACAGATAAAGCAATCTTGGGAAAAGAGTTGGAAACAAAAATATTTTCACGCTCAGAAACTGAATCTTGCATGTTTCAAGAGAATGCTGGAAAGACATTTGAAAACAGAAAGGTACTGATAAATCTTCCCAAGGTAACGAAAGGAGAAAGAGAGACTGTGACTGAGGCCAGCAGTGTCGAGTCGGTTTGTGCTATAACGAATGAGACAAGTAAAAATACACAGTGTAAAGGTGATAAGACTAAAGCATGCAGAAACATCCTAAAGAAAACGTCAAGGATGAGGAAAAAGATGTATGCAAGGCTGAGTGCTGGTGGTAAGCAAAAACCACCCGGAAGGTGTAAGTAAAGCTAGTGGATACAGCCAGGGGAAGACAAACGAAGCAGGAGCCCCTGATGTACACCCAAGTGAACAAGCCAAAGGCAAAGTAGCTGCTTCTGATCTAAGCCAAGAGAGAGCGACAGTTACAGAACCAAGCAGTGGTGATAAGATAGGCACGTCGGCACCTAAGCCCGACCAAGGCGAAAGTTACAAAGTAGGTGACATTGGCGCAGCTGAATTAAATATTTCAAAGACATCTGGTATTGCTACAAAGACTTTGAAGGATTGTTCGGGAGCCATAGAACTGGATCTGCTGGAAAAGACTACTGCTACAAGGCCTGGACACACTAACTACCTGGAACAGCTGCCAGACTCTGGGAACACAGTCGTGGCATTAAAGGCGGGACTCGGACTGCCTGACCGGCTGTTTGATACCGGGGCTGTCATGATCCAGCGAGAGGCCATGACTGCGTCTCTGGACACTCCCAAGGGAACAGGGAGACTGCCAGACAGCCCAGAGGAAAGCATTTCTGACATTGAGAGGTGGCCACTCAAGGCCGAGCAAGCAGAGGATACCCCTGGGGAGGAAACCAGGCAAAGGAGAGATGAACTAAGCCAGGAGTCTGGGCCTCAGGTAAAAGAACAGCGCTCCATGCCAGGCCAGGCCGAGCATGATGGGATGGAGCTGGGATCAAAGGCTGCATTCATGCAGGAGGAGGGTGCTCTAGACAGCCTCCTTGGCCAACCCCCTGAGGATATAGAGATGAGACCTGTAGCATTACCCGTAGGGAGCAAGGAAGGCTCCCAGGAATTCGCAGAACTGATGGAGGATGTTGTGGAGCCCTTCCTGGAGGGACCTGTTCCAGTGGAGGATGAACTGGTGACAGAACCAGGTCTTGAAGAGGTTGAGCACCCAGACAATTCAGCTCATGAAGGAATCATAAGTGATATACGTATAAGTGATATAGAAAAGGTAGTTACACGCAAAGCCTTTGTAAAGTTTGCATTGGGAAGTAACTTGGACATTGAAAGATTATCAAACCAGAAGCTGCTGTGGATGTGGAAGCGGATGATGATTGAGAGGAACTTGGCTGCTAATGAGCCACACAGTATTGAGCCTCAGCCTAGATCTGCTAGCAACCAAATAAGCGGGGAAACTGGAAAGAAAGGACAAAAACCTAGCTCGGTCTGAGCACTAACTGACATCAAGTTCCCTCTCTCTCAAGGGTTTAATCTATAACAAAAAAAGTGGTTTCACCAACCTAGCGTCTTTTCCAGCTCTCAGCACTCCAGTGTTTCTGACAGCCTGCTGCTTCCCTTTCTACACTCCCAGTGCTCCAAGCCAGCCTTGACTGCTTCCCTTTTGCACTGCCAGTGCTCCAAGCCAGCCTTGACTGCTTCCCTTTTGCACTGCCAGTGCTCCAAGCCAGCCTTGACTGCTTTCCTTTTGCACTCCCAGTGCTCCAAGCCAGCCTTGACTGCTTCCCTTTTGCACTCCCAGTGCTCAGTCTCCTTGACTCTCTTACTGAAGAGAACAGCCTCATTCCTACCTGCTTCCAGGGAGGAAGCCAGCAATCCCTCTTCACCTGGCTTGCAGGGAGGGGTTTATTCCCACTGTTACAGCTGATTATCTGCAGCTGAGCAGTGGGTTGGAGACAGCTCCAAAAAACTCTGGCCTGGACATTATTTCCCCCAGTTGTGTATAAACTGAGGAGTGGAGCATTGGCCCACCCTGCTCTCCAAATGCTCCACCCCAGGGGCCCATAACTAAACGGTGGATTGTGTTGCCTACAACACATACTCCCCCTGGGGTTAAATGTTATAGGCCTATCTGCCTTCACTTTATCACTATATATATATATATATATATATATATATATATACACATATACACATATACCCACATGTAACCAAAATAATTATGTTTAATTATATATAAATAGTAATAGTTATTAATATTAGAATATTCATCAATATAATATCAATGAAGAAATGTCATATTATTTACTAACGTTAGTGGAATATGTGTAATAGACATGTATAAATCTGAAAGAAAATTATCTGAGCACATCTAACTAACTCTCTCTATCCCAACTAACTCTGGAACTCTAAGAAAAATTATATCACTCAACTGAACTTAGACATCTTTAATTCTAATAATTCTGTAAACTTTCTTAATTCTCACACATGCATTCACCATCCTGGAAATATCTCCAAGCCTAAAGAATTCTACCAAAGATCTGGTAATTGTGCTGGTTTTTAATTTTATATAAATTAAATTAATACATTTTTACTAATAGCAGGAATATATATTTGGGTAAAGGTTGGCCAGGTTTCAACTATTAGAAATCATAATTAGCTATGAAATATTTTGTTCCAGATCCTTAACTACAGAAAGGATAAGTGAATAATATATTTACTGGCAATTTGCCAAAAATGTTAGCATGCCAAAATTTTATATGGACTTATTCTAAATGGAGGATAGTAATCTTTCATTAGGAAAGTTCAAATTTCCGCTTGGCTAAAAATCTGGTTAGAATTATTCTAATGGTTATTGGATGGAAGGAATGGTTAACCCCTTCCCGACCAAAGACGGAAATCTTCCGTCAAGCTTGTCCTTGCGTTAAGAACCCTTGATGGAAAATTTTACTTTACTAAAGTTAACCCCAGATTGCGGCGATCGCGGGGTTAACGCTCCTCCGGTCTGCATCGGTATTCGAGGCAGACCAGGAGCACCTGATCGCGCTGTCCCTGCTGCTGTGATCGCTCAGAGCAAGCACATGTGTTGCAGGGACTTCTGATCCGCCTCCCTGTGCTTCTGCGGTCAGTGTGAAGTGTAGGGAGATGGATCACTGCTGATCTTCTCCCTGTGTAAAAATAAAAATAAAGTTACAGTTAAATCCCCCTTTCCCCTGCTTTAATAAAATGTATTCCTTTTATACCAAATGATCACTGACTACAGTGATTAAAGGATCACTATAGGGTCAGGAACACAAACATGTATTCCTGACCCTATAGTGTTAAAATCACCATCTAGCCCCTCGGGCCCCTCATGCATCCCTAAATATAGCAACATCTTACTGTATTCAAGCCTGAAGCTGTAGATCTGCATGCTGTTTTCCTAAAAAAAAAACAAGCTGTCTGCTGACATCATAAGAAGTGGTGGCCTGATCCAATCACAGGGCTTCCCCATAGGATTGGCTGAGACTGACAAAGAGGCAGATCAGGGGCAGAGCCAGCATGATTCAAACACAGCCCTGGCCAATCAGCATCTCCTCATAGAGATGAATTGGATCAATGAATCTCTATGAGGAAAGTTCAGTGTCTGCATGCAGAGGGAGGAGACACTGAATGTTTGGATGCATTTTAGGCAGCCATGACCCAGGAAGGATCTCTAATAGCCATCCGAGGAGTGGCCAGTGAAGTTATCACTAGGCTGTAATGTAAACACTGCTTTTTCTCTGAAAAGACAGTGTTTACAGCAAAAAGCCTGAAGGGAATTATTCTACTCACCAGAACAAATTCAATAAGCTGTAGTTGTTCTGGTGACTATAGTGTCCATTTAACTTTCTTCATGAGATGCTCTGTTTTTTTTTTTTTCTCTTTTATGATCATATTAAAGATTAAGCAAATTACATTATAATCCAATTCAAGGAAAGCATTGCAAATGAAGAGGAGAAATGGAAAAAATATATATTTTCCTCTTCTTTGTATGTTTTCTCTAGCCTACACTGAATCCCAGGTGTAAATGACAGAGATTTCATGATTGACAGGAAACCAAAATGGATTTAATTTGAATTTTCACACCTCACAGTACATATTTCTTTAATATAGGAATAAGTAAATATGTGAAAAATCATGAAAAGTGAGTTTCCTTTCAAGCCCTGACATAAATTCGTCATTTCACCGAGCATACAATTTATACATTCAGCTTTTTGTTAATGTGACATTACTGGGCTGAATATGGGCAAGCAAAAAGATCTGAGTGACTTTGACAAGTGTCAAATAGTGATGGCTAGACCACTGGATCAGAGCATCTCAAAAACAAAAAGTCTTGTGGGGAGTTCCCAATATGTAGTGGGTAGTACCAACCTAAAAATTGGTACAAGGAAGGACGACTGGTGAGCCAATGTCAGGTGCACTGGAGCCCAAGGCTCACTGATGCAAATGAGAAGGGAAGGCTAACCTACCTGATCCAATCACATAGAATTATTGCTTAGAAACGTAATACCAGAAGTCAGACTGAGTGGACACGTCTTGCAGAGCTCCGTGGTGTAATATTTCATATATAGCATATAACTCACAAAATTTAAACTCCAAATAGAGGGTGACCTTAGCGAGATGTTCAAAGATGGTGAGTAACAGCTCCTTCATCAAAACCTCCAACATTGGGCATCTGCTCTGCTAAACTTTGAGTGGTCATGTGCCAAAGATGGTGCCAAAGTGTAATGTCATGTGTAATGGGTTCAGTATGCAGAGAAAGGACAAAGCAAAGTCACTTAACAGAAAGTCTATGAACAATAAGTCACTTATTGACCAGGGTCAATGCCATACAGTGCAGGGCCAAGACCAGGAGGCAAAAGGAGAGTCTTTCGCAGGATAGTCCAAACAGGACCAGAAAGCAAACAGAAAGTCCTAAGTAGGAAATACAAGTAGCACCAGAAAGGCAAGGATTAATTCAGGAATCCAATAAAGGATCAGACAGGCAAAGGTTAACCAAGGAAATGGAGACTTGTAACATTTAGGAGTTGCTCTGTGAAACTGGCATCACCTGGACTATCAGCTCTGGTAACTTCGGAAACAAGAACATCTAAAAAAACAGGTGGTGCATGGATACTGGAGAACAAGGGCATGGGTGCCTAAATGCAGACCATCTATCTGCATGCAAAGCAGATATCAAAGCCCTACTATCAAATATAAAAACTTTTCTGTGGACATCTCTACAGTGAAGGAGTATATGGCTACACTGACAGGCCGAATGCAAGCAGTGGAAGAGGATGTCAGTGACTATGGCAGTAAGTAACAAGATGTGGTTAAGGCATTTGCACAATTGCAGAAGAGGCAACACCTACAGGAGACAAAACTAGCCCAATTGGTGGACCTTCAAAGGCATCGAAATTTGAGGATCAGGGCTGTTCCTGAGTCTGCAGGAGAGATAACTCAGTACTTAGGAGGCTTTAGCCATCCCTGCTAATCCTAAGAGCATCATTGTTGATTCACACCTGTAAGTGACCATATCTGCCAAAGCACCAGAGGTCTTTCCTTGGAACATATTTATACGCTTCTGCATTGAAGCGGATGAAGTGGCAATTATGCCTTTTGTTTGAGCCTCTCCTATCTACACTTTTGAAGGCCTTGTACTGGCTTTCTATGGGGACTTTTCTCATTCGACTGTTGCTTGGAGACAGTTCCTTAAATGTACCACCAAGCTTTTAATGGACAATTATATACCATATTGCTGGGACCCGGTATTTAGATTGAGTTCTAGGCAATTCGTTTGTTCCGAATGATAATTCGGACGAATTTCGGGCAATGCGGACTTTCGGATACTTCCGAATGTCCGAATAGCTGAATTGCAGAAGTTCAGAAAATGCCTAAATTCCGAAATTGCCTAATTTCCTAAGTGTTGAAGTTCCGAAGTGCTGAAGCTCTGAAGTGTCAAAGTTGCGAAGCACAGTATTGCCGAGTACTAATATGCCTACCCAGTGGTAGAATGAAGAATGTTACACTGTATACAAGTTTAAATAAAAAGTATACAAACATAGCCAGGATTCAGCTGTGAGCATTTGCTACACTTACAACAATCAAGTAACATACATTCATATAAAATGTAAGTTACTTATCCAGTCAATGGAATGACAGGAATTAATAAGTAGAAAACTCCCTAATTCCCACGGTATTAGGGAGCTATCTACTAAAAGGCTGAAAGACCTAAATTGGTCTTTCAGCCAAATGTACTAATACTAAGTAAAGATTACTTAGTATTAGCAAATTATGCCCCTACTCGCTATACCGCAAGTAGGGGCATGTCTAGTAAACAGTGAGTAGTGTGGGAATTTAGGTCTTTCAGCCTTTTGGTAGATAGCTCCCTAATACCGTGGGAATTAGGGAGTTTTCTACTTATTAATTCCTGTCATTCCATTGACTGGATAAGTAACTTACATTTTGTATGAATGTATGTTACTTGATTGTTGTAAGTGTAGCAAATGCTCACAGCTGAATCCTGGCTATGTTTGTATACTTTTTATTTAAACTTGTATACAGTGTAACATTCTTCATTCTACCACTGGGTAGGCATATTAGTACTCGGCAATACTGTGCTTCGCAACTTTGACACTTCAGAGCTTCAGCACTTCGGAACTTCAACACTTCGGAAATTAGGCAATTTCGGAACTTAGGCATTTTCTGAACTTCTGCAATTCAGCTATTCAGACATTCGGAAGTATCCGAAAGTCCGAATTGCCCGAAATTCGTCCGAATTATCATTTGGAACAAACGAATTGCCTAGAACTCAATCTGAATACCGGGTCCCAGCAATATGGTATATAATTGTCCCTTAAAAGCTATACCGCAAGTAGGGGCATGTCTAGTAAACAGTGAGTAGCGTGGGAATTTAGGTCTTTCAGCCTTTTGGTAGATAACTCCCTAATACCGTAGGAATTAGGGAGTTATTTACTAAGCGTCTGCAAGAGAAGTGCCGAAGTCCCAAAATTCTGAAATGCAAAAGTTGCCAAACCGAACTGAAAATTTTCCCCATGCACATTGAGCTCCAACATCATCATCATCAACTGAAACTCATTGACCCTATAGGAGCCCATGCCTGTGTGGCATCATTGGATCTTATCATTCCTGATCGAGATACTCCATCGAACAGTCCCACTGTGACGTCAACAATATCCAGCCGTTTTACCTGACGGGACATGGTCGCAATCTAGGGCTATAGGAACGATTATATATGCCTTTACTTAATCCGTTAATTTCTACTGTTAAACAATTATTGCATTTTCTTTAACACTATTACATATAGTCCTTAATCTTAAGTATCGCCTTTCTTTGTGGGCCGCCTCTTACCTCCCCTCCTCTATGAGCAGCTTTAGATTTAGCTTCTAAAACATTGCTCTCTCGCTAATAAAAAGTAGAAGGGTTGATTAAGTTGAACATGGAAAAATTTACTTTATTGAGATCACAAACTGTGTTCAAAATGTTTAGCTATAATTTGTTAATACTCTTGACTTGCCTATTCAGGACTGTTGTTTTATTTCTTATACACAGTATGTCTGTTAAAACAGGAAGCCTTCTCATTATCTCACTGACAGCTTGTGCTCAAAATGCAGCATGTTTGTTATTGTCTTTGACATTCTTGATGTATCTTTGCAACACTACAGATTGCTGCATTACCGCAGAGTGCTCATGATAAACCCTGTCCACTGCTGAAGGTTCAATGGGGACTTGAGCATCAGAAATGAACAATGGAACAAGTCCAGTTCTGATGATTCACGTTTTATTTTGTCAGGTGGATGGCAGGGTGCATATGCATCATTTACCTGGGGAAGAGATGGCAGCAGGATGAGAAGAAGGCAAGCCAGCGGGGGCAGTGTTGTGCTCTGTGCATAACATTGGGTCCTGACATTCATGTGGATATTATTTGACACGTAACCATACCTAGAGAAGAGATTGATGCAGACTACATACACTACTTCTTATCAGTGGTGTTACCTGATGGCAGTGGCTCCTTCAGCAGGATTGTGCACCCTGCCACACTGCAAACATTGTTCAGGAACAGTTTGAGGAACATGACAAAAAGTTCAAGGTATTGCCTCTCCTTCCGATCGAGCAGCTGTAGGATGTACTGGAACAACAAATCCAATCCATGGAGGTCTCACCTCACAACTTGCAAAACTTAAATAATCTGCTGCTAATGTATTGGTGCCAGATACTACAGGACACATTCAGCGGACTTGTGGAGCCCATACCTCGACTCATCAGAGCTTTTTTGGCAGCACAAGTGACAACTACACAATATTAGGCAGGAGGTTTCTGTGTTGTAGCTGATCTGTTTATATATCCCACATTTCAGGTGTGAGAATAGAGGGGAGTCTCTTTGACATGTGGTCTCCTGGGTGCTCACAGTTGACCACCCACTCCAATTATTAAATGCCCATTGAGATCCACACTGGTTCATTTTTAACATTAAACTTTTTGCTTACTATGTCCTTGAGCAACCAGTAGGGACATTTGATTTTTAATTTAAATGCACCAACAAAACATGCAAATCAAATTCCAAACATGCTTCTAAATGCACAAATTAAGGTATTGTGAAGGAATATTCCTGAATTGCACCACTGGCAGGCCAATTCTGTTCTTGTCACTTACCTGTGCTGCTTGCCTATGTGATGACTTCTGTTTAGAATTCCGGTCCTTATAATGCAGACCCATGCTTTGTTTGCTATATGCATTCCTGGAGTGCCAGAGCCCCTGGCTTAACTAGACCTGTCCTGAGTCCTTTAGGGTTATTTAGTTGACATGAACAATGAAGATGATTTTTAAATATAAGGCCAGAGAAGCAAAATCCAAAGCACAGCGAAAAAACATATTTATATATATTTTTTTAATTCTTTATTTTTCGGGCTTTGTTAGGCATATCGGCATAAAACATGGTACAAGAATACTACATTTTGTTCTGCATATATTTTAACAGCCAATGTGTGGCTAAAATATTAATTTAGTGGTTATCAGCACAATTTTATATAACAAAAGCAGGTGCGGTGACAAACTCGGGGTAGGTGTGTTGGTAACACGCTTGGTGGGTTTTGTGTTTTCCCCTGGGATGCTCCAAGTGTATGAGTGTGAGAATGCTTGTTAGTTCCATATCTGATGTTACACTATGTGTGTGAGCATAACTATGTGTGAGTCAGGCTGGTTCAGGTGGATACTGAAAAAACATTTTTTAGTTCAGCTATTTTGACCTCAAACTTCACTTTGAATTCTTACTTTAGTAGATAACCCTGCTGGTCACGTACATTGCCCTGTTTAGAACTATTCCGGGGCTTGATCTGCCAATGTAAGTCAGTCTTGTACCTGTGTCTTTTGTTCCATACTATCCTTTATCCTTTGTCTTAGTCTACAACTCAGATTTTAACTTAGTAGGACAAAAGAGTAGGATTTCTGGCCTCTGTGCCATCTAAGTCCAGGGGCTTAATGGACCACTGTAGGCACCCAGACCACTTCATTTAAATTATGTGGTTTGGGTGTAGTGGCACTGTAGTTTCAGTCATGCAATGTAAAAAATTGGCATTTAGTAGATATAGCATCGATTTCATTGCTGGACTAAATGCACCTCTAATGACTGTCTTTCTGGCAGCCATTTGGAGTGCGTCCGCTGCAATAACAGGTTCTTTAATCAATGCTTCTCATAGAAAGCATTTGACTGGACACAAGGCAAATAAAAATTTCTTAACTCTGTTTTCAACAGAAAAGGGGGTGGATAGATGTCACTGTAATATAATCGAACTTATTGTTCCAAAATGATTATTATTTTCGGGACTATAGGTTCCCTTTAATTGTAGGAAGCATGTAATCTCATATGGCATCATATGATGCCATTTCTTTTTTATATAACTCTTTCTTCAGAATAATCCATGTTGAATAGGGGCTGCATAAAACCTGATACTGCAGTTGAAATTAAAGTTCTACACAGCATTAAAAAGGTTTGTCTGGGTGGCGGTGCTTGACTGGCATGGCTAGTGATCATAGATTGCATCAGGTCCTGGAGATTTCTCGCATTTTAATCTCTTAAACTGACTTCTTGATCCAAAATTCTGATTCTTGATGACCCTGCTGATTTACTGCAATCCTGGGGCTACTAATCTGTGCTTTTGGTACCACTTCCTCCGGTCAGCATTCAACTGGAGCAAGCCTGCGGCCTAGTTGTAACCTACCTGGTGACAGAGGCGTGAAGGAGGCGGCCGATCTCTCTACCCACAATCTACCACAGAACGTCTCGGTGAATTACTTGCTTACCATTGCCGGTGAGTAATATCCAGGCACTCTAAGCTTCGGAACTATCTATAGGACTGACCTGTGCACACCATGAATCTGACAAGGCTAATTTGTCAGCACCCAAAATGGCAATGTAGCACGACTCTGTGGGGCCCCAATGGATTGTGTTGGTGGCATTTGACAGCATCTGTGAGGCCTTCTGGAAGCAATTAAGGGAATGTACAGAACTTGCAGCTCCCCCCATCTCGTGGAATGCACAAATCATTAAGGCAACTAAAGCCACTCCCAATTACCTCTTGCTAGAGTGGTTGGGTGGTCCCTTGTTGGAACACCCTGGTCTGCGGCGACGTCCATCTGGACTTCCAAGAAGGCAGATTACCAGGATACAGGAGAGGCGTCCGCTAAGTGTGGCTCGGTGGTGCTGTCCCCCACCCTGGTCCAACACTCCGACCTTACCAGGAACTGCTCCAGGGCAAACCTGGCTCTCTGCAAGATCTGACTGGGGCACACCTTGCCTGTCCTGCCGGAACTTGGAAGCGGTTCCCCCTTGCACTTTATGCCACATTCACAAAGCAGGCTTCAAGAAGAGACAAGCCAAATCTAGAGTTGCACACATCCTACAAGCGGGGATTAATACGCTGTATGCCTATTACACCTGAGCTGGCCATAGCTCATTCGAATGTGAGTGTATTATTTATATTTTAACTCATTTTTATCTTATACACTCTACACGATTGGTCCTTTCTCATTGTGTCTTTTATGTCACGAGACGATCTACTACAAACAGAGAAGATATTCTACCAGCTGAAACAGCAACTAAGACTATACAATCTCTGATATAATTGGGACTGTTTTATACACATATATATTTTTATATATTTTTTTATATTTATTTTTATATATACATTTTATATATTATGTATTATAAATTATATTTTTGTGTATTTTTATTATTTATTGGTTCTCTTGGCGCAGCCTTTCCTTGCTTTTGTTGTACACAGTAGAGGGTTAGAGGGTGACCCTCTATTAGGCCGCTGCCTATTATATTATTAGTGCTAACCTACCTCCCTACTCTATCCCAAATCTAGAGTTGCCTACTTGAGCAGCATTATATGTCACTGCCACTTTAACAAAGGTGTTTCTTGTGTGTGATATGCCATACCTTTGTCTGTTTTCTTGATACCTACATAGGTGCTTTAGTGCCAGTGTGCAACTTCAGTGTTTCTGCTTTATTTTATATTTACTTTCTATATATTACTTCTCTCAGCTTGTACTGTTTATAGCTTGAATTACCTCCAGACCAGCTAATCTCCCATTGACTTAAAAGGACACTCCACTGGTCAATTACAAAATAAATTAAAATAACTGTTTAGTAGATATACCCAAAATTAAAACTTACAAAATATTAGCATGCCCGTTTTCCATATTTTAACAGTATTACACTATGTCCTTTTAATTTTTTAGGTCATACACCTGTATCCCATGATTTTCTATATATTCATATATTGTCTTATGTGGTTTCTGTCTGGGAAGGCTACCCTGGAAAGCTGTTTCCCTATAAGATAAGTTGTATTTTATTTGTTTATTGTATTTGTTGCTTCACTTAGCACTTTGTTTGATATTTAGTAATTTATAAAAGTTAAAATTTCTATTGTAATCTGCACCTTTTGCAAAATTAAATTAAAGAGGACACACTCTTCACACATAAAGCTTTTTATCATGCTAAAGTGCTTTAGGGGTCTTTTTTTTAGCACAACTACTACATAAACACTTCTCACCTTGTCTTGAAGCTCTTCTCTTCTCAAAGTGTCAGATAAGCTCAGCAATTAGACATGTACATATAGCCAAAGTATTTTCTTAGTCCGAAATATTTTCTGAGGAAAGCTTAGTTTAAAACTTTTGTTGTAGACAAGTATACTTTCCATTCCAAGCATTTACATTTTTTTTCATTATTTCTATAAAAATGTGCAACAACTCTCATTGCCATACCAATGTTATAATATGTCTGTTGTTGGGGCATGGGAAGCCGGTTTGTAACCAACTGCATAAAGATTGACAAAAGAAAAGTGTTTTGTCTGGAGCAAGTGGATTAGGCTATTGTGTTACACTTTGGGTTGTATATGACACTCATATTCATAGAAAATGTGACAGTCTGTTTTATGTTTCAAACGGCTTTTATTTGTGTCATCGAAAATGTACAAAAGTGCAATAGGATAGCAAAATAGGAGAAACGCAGGTCTCGCAAAATCGGGAGCAGCCATATGATTATAAAGGAATGAAAACTGAAACAATATTAACAATTAGAAGGTAGTACAGTATCAGTATCGGTAACTTCGTTATGTTACATGTAGTAAATATGCAAACATCTGTATCTTATGGTCGTACATTAAGGGGTGAGTGTGTCATCACTGGGTGAGCCAGGTAGTGATTGTGTAGTACATGGGCAAGATTCGCCTGTCACCATAGTGGTTGCATATAGCCTAGGAGTATCGTCTAAGCGGATAGGGGCCATTATAACATCTGTGGTGTAGCTAACCTGAAGGTTTAATTTGTAGATGGGACTCGTCGTCCCATATAATATTGATAAATAGTGGGTTTCCATTGGGTCTTATTGCCTTTGGCCGCGCACTCCTCGCGCGGGTCCTGTTTTGTCGTGCGAGCAATGTAATCTGTTGGTTCAGTCTATAATAATGGGCAGTGGCAAGTTAGTGGAGCATTCGTATAGCACATGAGGCCCAAGCCTGCCATACCCTCCTGTTTGACTGTTGTTGAGACTAGTGTGCACGGTCAATGAGGTCCGACTCTTGCGTGGGGGTAGGGAAAGAGAGCAAGTGGTGTAGAAAAGAGAACACAAAGACAGAGGGGTTTGGGGAAGAGAAGAGGGAAGAGAGGAAAAAAAAAATAATTTAAAAAAGGGGGGGGGATCTCGAGGAGCACTCTCGTCATGCCCGTGGTAGATTCGGATCCGTGGTGTTCCGTGCAGTGTGGTGTCACCCACCCTAGGGCACGGGTGGAGGGGGGGAGAGGGGCCACGTCCCTGCCCCCGCCCGGCCCCTGCACCCCGCCCCCGCCCGGCCCCCGCACTCCACCCCGCCACGTAAGCCAGCCACGGCCGCCACCTCTCAACATGTTTCTCCTCCATACCTATCAATGAGGCGTGGATCGATTCCGCCCTGTGTATCTCCTCCACCCGTTCCATCCATAGTCAAATCGTCGGGGTTACATCTTGCTTCCAGTGTAGTGGAATCAGAGCCTTGGCGGTGTTCAACAGGTGTCGGAGTATAGATTTTCTATATACCCCGATGGTGTCTGTTGTAGAGTGTAGGAGGGCTGCCTCTGTCGAACCTGCCGTCCGACCCCAGTATTTCCTCCGTTCGTCGCTTGACCTCGTCCCAAAATGGCGTGATGCGTGGGCATTCCCACCAGATATGAAGAATCGATCCGCGTCCCTCCCCGCATCTCCAGCATGTAGCTGGTACCGCCGGGAAGATCCTGTGCAGGCTGTCGGGTGTTCTGTACCAGAACGATAGGAGCTTATAATTGGTTTCCTGATAGTTAGAGCTAGAGGAGCATTTGTGGTGTAGGACCAAGATCTTTTCCCATTGAGTTGCGGTGAAAGATGTACCCAGGATGCGTTCCCAGCGTCGGTGAAAGGTGTCCACGTTCTCCAGGTGACGTATAAGGAGGTGGTAAATGAGGGACGTGGACTTGGCTAAGTTGGTCCTTTGGTCACAGAGTGCCTCAAACCACGTCAGGTCCCTATGTAGAGCTTCTCTGTGCGATAGGGTTTGGTAGAAATATTTAATTTGTGTGTAGCGGAAGATTTGCATTGCGGACGGTTGGTTGTTGTCTATCAATTCCCGTAGTGGTACCATGCCTGTGTTGTTCAGCATCTTATGGATGGGGAGGGATTCTCCCCCACCTAGGATACTCCAAGATGTCGGCGGTAGCCCTCCTCCTATTTGAGGGTTATATGATAGCTGCTCGGTGTTGGAGACAGCTGTGGGATTTTTCTGATGCTGTCCCATGTTTTTAGCGTCTGCGCCACAGTGGAGGTGCAGTCTTGGGGCGTCGTCGGGGGTCTCTTCGAGTTCCATACTGTAGTGAGAAGTGACGACCCCATGTGGTTCTTATCTAGTTCAATCCATTGTTTGTGTGCTGGGTGAGTATGGCATTCCAAGACCCGTTGTAGTACTGTAGCATGATGGTATTTGCGGAGATCCGGGAGTGCTGTTCCACCCCACGCTCGAGACAGGCATAGGACCTCCTGTCTGAGTCTCGCCTGTCCCCGACTCCACGAATCGTATCATAGTGGTCCGGAGCGATTGAAAGTACGCCGTCGGTAGGGCTAGAGGTATCATTTAGTAGAGGTATAGGATCCGGGGCAGTATGTTCATTTTTAGGATAGCTATGCGGCTGAACCACGAGATATATGTGAACGACCACGTCTGTAAATCTCGTTTTATTTTTTGTAGTAAGGGTAGGAAGTTCGTCAGATACATGTCTCCCAGATCCCTGTTAAGGGCGATGCCCAGGTATTGCATGTGGGTCGGGCACCATCTGAATGGGAATTGGCGCTTCAGTACGTCGACATGTGTTGGCGAGGTCGAGATGTTAAGTACCTCACATTTAGGTATATTCAGTTTAAATCCCGATATCTCCCCATAGGTCATCAAGTGAGGCAGGGTGGTCTCAGGTTTGTTGATAATAAATAAGAGATCGTCCGCATACGCCGCTATTTTGTGAGTAGTGTCCTTGTCGGAGAATCCTAGGATCTCATCTGATCTGCGCACCATTTCCAGGAATGGTTCAAGGGTGAGGGCGAAGAGCATAGGAGAGAGCAGGCATCCCTGCCGTGTTCCGTTCCGGATCTGAAAGGGTTCGGTGAGTGCACCATTCACTCTTACTTTGGCAATGATATAGCGCTTCTATCCACTTCATTATGTTCTCCCCAAAGCCTATCTCCCATAGTGTAGCCATAAGGAACGACCGGTTTACCCGGTTGAACGCTTTCTCAGCATCCGTGGAGAGCAATAGCAGGTTGTCTTTCGACCGCTTCGCCAGGTGTTGAATGGATTGGACCCTGAGAGTGCTATCTCTGGCCTCACGTCCGGGTATGAATCCCTTCTGATCTGGGTGGACCAGATTCGGCAGTAGGCCTCCAATCCTGGTGGACAGTATCTTGGTCAGCAGTTTTACATCCACATTGAGTAGGGAGATCGGTCTATAGCTGCTGCATAGTTCGGGGTCTTTCCCTGGCTTCGGGAGAACCGTGATGGTAGCTGCCAGTGACTCCTGGTGGAGCTGAGCATCTTCGATGAGAGCGTTAAATGCGTTAGTGAGTTTTGGGATTAAGATGTGTTGGAATTTCTTATAATATTCTAGGGTAAAGCCGTCTGGACCTGGTGCTCGACCTGTTTTAGCTGCTTTGATCGCTCCCGCCACCTCCGCCTCCGTGATCGGTACCTCCAAATCCTCCGATTCCCCTCGCTGCAATCTCGTCCCCACATAGGTTTCGATATAGTATAGCATTTTTTCGTTCCTATCCGCTATCTCATTTGGTTGTGTCGGTTGCGGGATATTATACAGTGAGGAGTAGAATGTCCGGAATTCTGAGGCGATCTTATCCGGAAATTGTGTAATTGTGTCATCAGCTTGCCGTAATCTGTTGACCTGGGCCAGTCCCTGTGGCCTTTAAGCATCCTGGCCAGTAGCCTCCCGCCTTTGTTAGCATGTTGATAAAAGAAGGCCTTCGAGCGTTGCAATGAACGTTAGTGACGGGTCATCATGTGTGTTTGAAGCTGTCTCCGGGCTTCCAGTAGCTCCACGTATGTAGACTCTAGGTGTGATCTCTTATGCCGTGCCTCGAGCGTAGATATGCGGTCCACAAGGTCGGTTATTTGTCGTTGGGATTCTTTTCTCTTTTTGGAAGCTAGGTGCATCAGTGTGCCCCTAATAACGCTTTTATGCGCCTCCCAGATCGTGGTTGTGACGTGGTCTCCCGTTGCGTTGAGCGTAAAATATGAATTGAGTTCTTCTGAGACCTGTTCCCTGACTGTTAGGTCTAGCAGTAGCTAATCTTGGAGCCTCCATGCCCATGAGGTTGGGCGCATCCTTGGGGAATCTATCTTCAGAGTGACTGGTCCATGGTCAGACCAGTGTGCAGCTCCTATCTCCGCTGTTTGAATTCTCGTCAACTGTTCTTGTTGCATGAATATATAATCTATTCTCGAGTAGCGTTTGTGGATCGTAGTGTAGTGGGTGTATTCCCTGTCATCGGGATGCATTGCGCACCAGCAATCCACCAGTCGAAGGTTCCGTAAAGATTTCAATATATTTCGGAGAGCACCTTGAGTTATGCAGCTGTGTCCCGTAGACGAGTTGGTAAGTCGGTGTAGTGGTACGTTGAAATCTCCTCCTAGGATCAAGGTTCCTTCCGTAAAGGAGGAGAGCTTGAGGAGGGATTTGCCTATGTATTGGGCTTGGTTATTGTTCGGGACGTAGAGTGTAGCGAAAGTGTATCGTCTTTCTTGAATATCTCCCTTGTGTAAGAGGTATCTGCCATTTGCATCCGATAGTCGGTCTGCTTCGCGGAATTGTAGCTTCGCCTCTAGGAGGATAGCTACCCCCGCCCTGCGGGCCGTGGGATGGTTACTACAGGCGGCGTTGGGATAGTGTTTACTTTTCAGCATTGGGGCTGCACCCTCCTTGAAGTGTGTCTCTTGTAAGAAGGCTATAGATATACGTCTGGCGTAGAGGTCCCGTAGGAGTTGCGTCCTACGCTCCGGGATGTTGAGACCGTGGCAGTTCAAGGATAAGATTCGGAATGGGTCGGGCTCGTAAATCATGAGGGGGCGAGGGGCCATGGCCACTCCCCGCGGCTTCGTGACCCGCACAGGCAGGGTTGGGGGGGTGGAGTGAGAGTGAGGACAGTCTGTTTTAAACCAGTTTGCAAAGAATTATTTTTCCATTACGTGTACCAATGATATTTTTAGTATTTGTGGTTTTATTGACTTTAAGGTATTTAATCAGTTCATTACAAAAGTTGGGAAGGCCCTGAAAAAAATGGGGGAAAAAAACAACATTTTTTTGGCAGAGGGTGGGGGGAGAGCAAAAAATACATTTTAAAAAATGGTTTTTTTCCCACAAAATGTATGGATTATTTTACAGTGACCATTAATTTGCGCTATATATATGTTCAGCTACAATTTACCTCTTCCATATTAAGTGCACCCATACTTCTTATATATGTTGTTCATCAGAAACAGAGCTTTAATTTCATATTAAGTATTTCATATAAAACTATTTTATATGAATAAAAATCAAAACAAATGTGAGAAATTGTGTTATTCTCTTCGTTCTGCATAGCATTTTAACTGTGAGTTATTATACTGCAATAAAGCACACATATTTGTATTCAGCAATGTCTAACGAGTACAAGAGTACACTCCAAGTACAGATTTTATGGGGTTTTGGAAAGTTACAGGGTCATAAGCATACAGCACGTTCCCTTTTTTTAGTATTTACACATTGAAATTTGGCAGGTTGGTTAGGTTGCCTTTGAGACCGTATAGCAGCCCAGGAATGAAAATTACCCACATCATGGCATTTGAAAAAGTAGACAATCAAGGGTATTCAAAATGGGGTGTGCTTAGTCTTTTCTAGTAGCCACTTGGTCACAAACACTGGCCAAAGTTAGTGTTCATATGTTTTTTTGCATTTCTAATTATCATTGGGATTATAGGTTTTACTGCTCTAAAACACTTATTTGGTTTCTCGAGTACAACAGTACACATGTCCAAGTTTTATGTAAAGTTACAGGCTCAAAAATAAGATATGCCCATTTCCGTTTTTGTAATTTGAAATTTGCCTGATGTGGCCTTTGAAACCATATGGCAGCCCAGGAATGAGAATTGCCTCCATCATGGCATATAATTTTAAAAAGTAGATAACCCAGGATATTTAGAATGGGGTATTTTCAGTCTTTTAGTAGCCATTTAGTCACAAACCCTGGCCAAAATGAGCGTCTATTTGTTTTTTGGCATTTTTTCCCCCCCACAAAAACTGCACTTTCACTGATTATATCATCGCCATGATACATTTTACGGTTTTAAAATACTCATATTTGTGTTCAGCAAAGTCTCCCGGGTAAAACAGTACCCCCATGTACAGGTTTGATGTTGTTTTGGAAAGTTACAGGGTTAAATATAGGGCTTGCTAATTAAGTTCTCTGGACTTAATGTCTGGGTTGTCAGCACGTCCTTGTAATGAATAAAATTGTAATGAATAAAATCATATAGAATTCAAATATATATATATATATATACACATACATATATATATATATACATATACACTAGAGAAGAGCAGGCAGATGATAGCAAAAGGAGGGAAGATGATCAGGACAGAAGGAGTTGAAGTTACAGAAGGCCAAATAGAAGATGTAGAGAACAGCTACAAGTACCTGGAGATACCACAAATGGCAACCAGGAGGAAGAGGCAACATCCAAGTACCTCCAAAGAGTCAGACAGGTCCTGAAGTCCCAACTCAATGGCAAGAACAAGATCCAAGCCATCAACACATATACCCTACCGGTCATCAGGTACCCAGCTGGAATAATAACCTGGCCAAGAGAAGAACTGGTCACCATGGATGTCAAGACCAGGAAACTACTCACTATGAATGGAGGATTTCACACAAAATCCAGCACCCAGAGACTGTACACCTGCTAGAAGGAAGGAGGTCTGTGCCTCATGAGTGTCAAGATGAAACACAGAGCATCCACAAGTACATCACGAAAATGGCTCCCAAAGATGAGCTGCTAAGGGAATGCCCGAGACTTCAACAGATAGAGGATGCAGAAAAAGAGGAGGTTCCTTGGCAAGACCAACCTCTCCATGGGGTGTACCATCGGCAGATAGTGGATGTGGCTCACATGACAAAATCCTACAAGTGGTTGGAAAAGGCAGGACTGAAAGACAGCACTGAGGCACTAATCCTAGCAGCACAGGAACAGGCACTCAGCACCAAATCAATAGAAGCTGGAGTCTACCAGACCAGGCAAGACCCAAGGTGCAGACTGTGCAAAGAGGTCTCTGAGACAGTTCAGCACCTAGCACTCGGATGCAAGATGTTAGCAGGAACAGCATACACTGAGAGCCTAAGTCCAGATGGGAGATACCACAAAAGGTACTTGAGAATGACAGGGCTAAGATCCTGTGGGACTTCAAAATCCAGACAGACAAGCAAGTGCTGGCCAACCAACCCAACATCATGGTGGCAGACAAGAAACGAAAGACTGCAGTCGTGGTGGATGTGGCAATACCCCGTGACTAGAACATCAGGAAGAAGGAACATGAGAAGGTGGAGAAATACCTAGGACTGAAAGAAGAACTAGAAAGAATGTGGAAAGTGAAGGCAGTAGTAGCCTCAGTTGTGATAGGAGAACTCAGGGCTGTGACTCCCAAGTTGAGGGAGTGGCTTCAACAAATTGCAGGTGGGACATCTGAGATTGCTATCCAGAAGAGTGCAGTTCTAGGAACAGCTAATATACTGTGCAGAACCCTCAAAGTCCCAAGCCTCTGGTAGAGGACCCGAGAATGAGGAGGAATAAACATACCACCCAGGAAGGGTGAGAAAATCTATTTTTAAAATATATATATATATATATATATATATATATATATATATATATATATATATATATATATATATATATATATAGTCTACATGTATAATTATGTAAATTGATTTCTATGCTTTTACAAAAATGCTACCAGAATGACAAAAACATCTTTGCATGCCAGAGGTGTAATTAAGACATTAAAAATACTTAATGAGATTAAAATTAAAATCAGTTTCTTCTCACATGGAAGTATTGGCCAATGCTTTCCTTTGAGAAAACTGACTACTAGAGCAGGGGTTCCCAACCCAGTCATCAAGTTGCCCCTAACGGGTCTAGAATTTAGGGATTACCCAGTTGTGTTTTAAGTGGTTTTTCTTTCCTGGACTGTTGAGGGGGTACTTGAGGACTGGGTTGGGAACCACTGTACTAGAGAACTATATAGTACTGAGTACTCAGAGGAAGCCCTACTGGCTGGCAGCATGGCAGCTAAGAGGCAATACCATCCTGTTTTATTAAAGTGCCTTATGAATGGGGACCTCCTAAACATGCCTAAACCACTTCAGAAAGCAAATGTTTTAGGCATTTGAAGTGTCTCTTTAATGGAAAGGAGGGCTGGATCAGACAAATCATTTTCTCAATTTTCTTATGTTGATGGTTTCTTTGATTTTCTGGGGGGGGAAGGATGTGGGGTGGTTGCTTGTTTTCATGTACTGGCAAAAATGTTTTTTATAGTTCCTGTGTTTTTAACATATCTATACCTTGTAGTTCCATTTGTAACAAAAAATAGTTTATCATTTACTGAGTAAGCTGTACTTTTATTTTGAGCTTAATACTTTTATACACACTGTGTCTTATGTACTAAACACAACAAAATAACTTTTACTTTGTATGAGTACTCCCCTCCGATTTTTAATTTATTTTTTTCTGAGAATTTCCATATTTTTTTTCACAAAAGAAAAAGATTTCCAACATTTCTGGAGGTTTTTTTTTTTTTTTTTACATATATAGTTATTACACATATAAGTAATTCTGTTTATTAGTATTAAAGTGGATCAAACAGAATAAAAACTGTGCTTTTCGCTTTCTATATTACTAAAAAGCTTCTGTTTAAAAAATTTTATAAAACAGTTACCCTTTCTTATCCTCCTAAACGAGATGTGCATAGCCATGAGTACTTCATACTGCATTCATTAAAGGGGCACTGTCACTTCTCTGGAAAGTATACGATTGTTGTGAATTTTAAAATGAATTTCAAATTTTAGACCAAAAACACCGGAATTGGAAGCATAGCTGACTTTGATACTTTTTCCAGTTCAGCTACATTGGCCATAAATTTTAAATTTGCCTTCTGTTCCAGGCAATTCTTAATTTGGATTGGCTCATTTCTCATCTTCTCTGTATTTTTCTTTTGACAATCTTTATTTATCGTTTTTATGTTTTCTTGTTTCCAAGATCAGGTGGGGGTACAAAAAAGGGTAAAGAGCGGGGGTCAAAGTGGTATTCAGAACACTCATTAGCTATGATTGACATATACATGCACATGCAAGGATTTACAGTGGCTTTTTGACTTCATGCAGTTGTCTGACCAGAGTAGCATTTATTATTTGTTAAAGTGTTTCGTAGTGGTGTAGATCTTTTGCGTCTTAGCATTGTACATCTCAGCCATGGTGTGGTTTTGTTTTTTTTTTGGTTCTGTTGCATTTGACAGTGAGGGTGTACATGTCAGGTGTGAGACCTTGGGTGGGTCGAGTGTGCAGCGGGCCACGGTCGTGCATGGGGTGGGAACCGGCCACGTTTGTGAACCCTCGTATCAGGGACAGGCATGTTATCCGGGCAGTCAGTCCCGACCCATTAATGGATGGTCGGTCGCTATATGTGTAATGTTCCCTCTACCTTAGGCGATAGTGCTTAGGTCACCATGTCACCCTTTGGGTGTGCCCATTATGACGGGGTGTTGCCTGTGTGTAGGCTCGCCGGGCAGAGGCGCCCATGTGCTTGGGCCTATTGTAGCATCTGCTATGTGTGTGATCATGTGCTGTGGGGTATCTAAGGCGCCTTGGGAGTTAGCGGCTCCGCTTCCCGTCTGTGTGGGGCTACGTCCGCTGGCAGCTCCTTTGTCTGTGCACAATTATTTGCTTAATGTGTGTTCTGGTCTAGTTCAGGGTGTGGGGCGGTCATGTGGGGCTTGAGTCTGGGGTGGGGGTGGGCTAAGGGAGGATGGAGAGAAGGAAGGGGGGTATAGCTGAGAAAAAGGGTGGAAGAGGTGGTGTAAAGATGGGGGGGAGGAGATGAGGGCCATGGCTTGAGTATAGGTTTCAGGGGGTTATTCTATCTGCGGCAATGTACAGAAGCCAGGGGGTTCACGCCAGGTTGCATTTCTCTGTGCGGCCTTGGAGGGATGCCGTCATAATTTCCTTGGTATGGATTTCTCCTACCCTATCCACCCATTGTTGGAAGGTGGGGGCAGCAGTCTTTTTCCATAGAGTGGGTATCAGGGACTTTGTCGCTGTCAGCAGGTGTTTCGTCAAGGATTTCTTATAAGATTTTAAAGACATGCTCGTGTGGTGTAGCAACATGGGTAGGGGTTGGAGCGGGAGCTCCGGATCCGATATTTAACGGATTTTGGTGTTGACCATCTCCCAGAAGGGAGTGATGGCCGTGCATGACCACCAGATATGAAGCATAGTGCCTCTCTCCTCCCCGCATTGCCAACATGTCTCTTCGATGTCCGGGTTCATGCAATGCAACACATCCGGGGTTCTGTACCAGGTCGTCAGCACCTTGTAGCTCATCTCCTGGTATTTTGAGCTAATGGAGCTTTTATGAGTGAGCAAGAATATTTGATCCCATTCTTGGGCAGTCAGGGTATCCCCGGTCTCTCGCTCCCATCTGGCGATGAATTACGGTGGCGGTCTGTTTTCTCCTTCCATAAGCATTGCGTACAGCATCGAGATCCCCCGTTCCAGGTGTCGCCTGGTCGTGCAGAGTTTTTCAAAGAGTGTGAGATCTCGGTGGAATTGTCGTTTGGATGCTGATGTGGAGTAGTAGGACTTGACCTGTAGGTATCGGAACCAATCGAGGCTCGTTGGGGTTGTGTCTGGGAGCAGGTCTGTCAGGGATTTGAGGGTGCCACTGTGGCGTATGTCGATCCAGTCTGATCGAGTGAAGTTTTTTAGGTCTGTCGGTACTAGACCTCCCCCTGTGTCTGGGTTACAGGTGAGGGGCGTTAGCGGGCTGGTGTGTGTAGTCAGCTGTTGTGGTATTTATTTTTCTATGCAAAAGAAAGACAGGGAGCTAAGATGGAGGAGCCACATTGCATGGTGACAATTTTCACACCTCACAAATATATATTTGTTCATTTTAATAACAGAATAATTCAAACATAATATTGCATTTACTGGAAATGACCATACCAAAGGTTACCTAGACCAACAAGCCATAAATAATTAAATTTGGGGAAAACTAACCCAGGATCAAAAAATCTTGTGACCATTGATTGCACTTTTTCAATAAATAAGGTGGAACTGTGACAATCTTAAAATGTATTGATTCCCTATGTTCTCAAACATAATGTTTAAAATCTTAATGTTTAAAAGATGCATAAACGTTGAAATAAGTTTATAAAAAATATTGACTTAAAAAATAAAATTTTATTATAAGTACACTTTCAAGGGTGATTTGTCTGCAGCTATGATCAGGATATACCTTGTGGTGGGGATAATACCTCTACCACCACTTAATAATAATACCACACATGCACTACCTTAGAGCATAAGTGAATTCCCAGAAATGTGTAAGTAGGTATCCTGATTTATGAGCTATTCGAAGACCCCAGAATTAAAATATAACACCATTGAAGCCTTCAGCAGTTTGCCCTACAGAGTGACTGATCATCTGCATTTAGTTCCCGTGAGTGGATGGAAAACACCAACTTACACTTCAAAACAAAGAGATATTTAGCTCTTCTACATAAGAGTTTGAAATTTGTTAGTATATTTAATATTTTTACATTGACTAAATAAAACATAAGTACACTATCCTATACTGATTCATGTTTGATTTGAGGAATACACTTTTGTGTGAGCTACAGGTTACTGTATTTAACTTTGCTTTTCCGGATTTCAGAAAAGTTACCAGCTTTTGAAGTTTTTTTTGCTGCCTAGTTGTGTGTATAGTGATCTAATATAAATAGTTTTTGCATTGTGGGTTACATATAAAAAGATATTCGTATTAAACTTACAAATCACGTTGCCTTACCCTTGATTTAGATCTGTAATGTAATGAATATTACTACAGTGAAGTTCATAAGAACAGTAACATTTTTAGGGGGTTGGTACAATACTAAAACAAACAGTTGGGGGGGAAAAAAGAAAAAGAATCCGTTTAATGTGTCATATGATTTTTATTTAATTTAGTATTTGCACAGAGATTTAGAGAAGTGGGAGAGACACGCGTTGAGAGGTAGAGCGATGGGAGAAATGAAAATTTATACACACATACATTGTGTGTATATATAGGTTTGCGTGTGTGTATATTGTATATACAAACACAAACATAAATGTATATATAATATTCACACACACATACACACACAGACATACATACACACTCAATGTAGGATTATCTAATTGTCTGACAGCAAATCCTCAATTGCGCACCACAAAAAAAAAAAAGGGGAAGAAAAAGTAAAGAAATCATACCAAAGGTCTTCAAAAATGTTAACACCCTCTCTTTCACAAAATGTATTCACACAACACAAAAATCACAAAGAAATTAACTCAAACATAAGGCAGACAACACCCCCACCCACCCTAGTGCTCAGAGTGGGGGCTGTGAGATGGTTCAGAGGGCTAAGGGGACGCCACTATGCTCTGCAGGTCAGGGAAAAATTTAAAAAATATTTAAAAGTTAGACCCCTAAGAAATACCTCTATTCATGGTGTCCTTTTTGATAAGGTAAATTTGGGAACATATTTTTGACACTGGGGAAATATATTGCAAGGCAAATTGCCATTTAGGAGTAGGTGTCATTTTATGGTCCTTTGGATGTTTAATGGTATACATCCCCAAGTGATGAGTATGTGCGTACAGTGAGATATGTTCCTCATGTGAAGCAATGGTGAAAAACCACTGTTAATGTTTATAGTGACATAAACCCTGCAAGACCTACAGAGTGTCACACTCCATTATCCCCTCATTAGCCAGGGACCTGCAGAGCATTGCTCTGTCCAGAGGAGTCAGGACTAGGGTCAGTAAGGCATCGCTGCAGGTAGAGGATGGGGATCAGTAAAGGATGGAGCAAGAGAGAATCTGGGAAGAGAGCAAGATGTTGCCAGCATTCTTCAGAAGATGTCTGGGCAATTCCCCCATTCCTGACGTTCCTTGGTTTCCCAGTATGTGCCATTGCAAATGTGTGTCATCTCTTTGCTCACAGGATCCATCTTTCGGTCAAACCACATGGGCTTATATGTATCTACTGGAGACCCTGGGAGGAGAGTATCACAGTGAAGAATTAGGTAAATAAATAATATTAGCTGCTTATGGTTAAGAAACGATGCTACAATACTATAAACGGTTTCGAGTATTTTGTATTGACTTAATGGGGTTATATGTCAAACTGTTTTGAAAGTGATCAGACAAAAAAATAAAATGGTCTCTGATCCCCATAGCATACTCGTTAGCTCCTCAAATAATACACAGTATCTCTCCAGCTTTATACAGATATCAAAGCAGTGAAACTTCTGCATTAACTCAGATTCAGAAGGAACAAACTGTTGGTGCCAAGGTGAGTCTTATTTTTGTCAAACTACCCAAAATTGTTTGACAGGTAAAAGGAAGGGGGATAGTTGCAATAATACACCTTAATTAGTAAGCTATTCTATAAACACTGTACAACCTTTAAAGGTTCACCTTAAAAACCAGAGTAAAGCTTTCTGAAATAACTAAGGGCGTTAAAGAAAATTTGCTCCATAACAATTATAATAAAAAAACTTCAAAAAAGCAAGAATACACTTCTTTAATATAAGGTCATCTACAATATACTCTAGACTACATGTCCTTTACAGCTTTTAAAAAGCAAATGTCATCATGGAGGCAGTAAAACGACAACACCTGTCTATAGCAATCAGTATTCTACTGAAGTCACACACTGATTGTATGGCAGGGGGTCCGCCCACACAAACGTGCAGTGTTTTTTTGTATTCCGATTTGATCACCACGGGATATTCATGATGGAGATGTTTAAGAATTTTAGAATAAGGCTGTCTATTTCATTTACAAAGACAGAATTGCCCCTGATTCTCTCCAAATTCAGGACATTACTTTGTTAAAATATCCATCTAAAATCACCCTTATATTCACGGATGTTGCCATGGGCGATTGTGCGCTGATATCTTTATTTAAAGTAGGAACGTCACTTGTCAGGAACTTACACGATTAAGAAAAACACCCGAAATCCCCTTGCGTTACGGTTTCATTTTAAACTTTATATAAAAGATTTAGCAAATTACATCACAATCCAATTTAAACAAGGCAAAGTTTAATTTCTACTCTCCTCTGTGTGCTTTCTCAATGCTTACTGACCAGTGCAAAGGACAGAGCATACAATAATGAATGAGAGAGTAAAGGTGAAGGCACCTGGGTTTGGTTTTCTACAATTGATTACATTTGTTTGACATTTCACAAATATATATCTGTTAAATATATAAACATAATATTAAAAATCCTTATAAGTGACAGTTTCTCTTTAAAGTATTATTACTATTATAACACAATATTATAGCTATTATGTTACAAGACAGTCCGACCACAGCGGTCAATCAGGCAAATGGAACTATACGCACTCCTACATATGAGATTACTTTAGCCTGCCTTGCCCATGCGTATGATTTTAGATGTTAAAGAAATGACTTAAGCTTTAATGTTAAAATTTATCAACGACTTCATATATTAATAATTTTCTATGCTTTTGAAGGGTGACTGTGGGGAAAAAAACATTTAGAATACCAGTTTACGTACCTTCTTCTCCAGCCCTCTCTCTTTCTGCCTCTCTTCTGCGTCTTGTGCTTCTTTGTTTCTCTTCGAGTCTCTGTTTTTCAGCATTGGCCTCATCCCAGTTACCGTTCTCCATAAGTCGTTGGTCTGGCCGTAGACGACTGTCTGTTGGGGCAGTGCCATCTTCAAGGGCATTTAAAGTAAGTGCCAGCTCGGAGAAGTAATACATGTATTCTGCATTTTTACTGTGAATATAAAAGAGAAGGGATAAAGAAAACCAAAAAACAAACATATGTTATGGTGCACAGAGGGTTTCAAGATAGCCTGTACTGACGGAAGAGGGTTCCTCCTCCACAGCAATGTCCTGCTCTCTGGAGCTTTATCGCCTCCATTCTCAGATCCACTTCCAGTAAGTGATGCTGGTGCACACTCCATGCGCTCATCCCAAGTCCCCATCAGGGTATAATGTACTCTGCCGGCTGCATCCATCACCTCCCCAGTCACCTGGAATTAATATATATAGGAGAAGACAAGAAGAAACTAGATTACCATTTTGAAGACAAAGAATGGTTTCCCTTTGTTTTGGGGCACAACTGGAATTTGATTCAAACTGGGTTGTTTTAATTTTTTTTGAAACAGAAGCCATGTGTGAGGGGCTGGACTTGAGCCTTTTTCAGTCTGTATTATTAGTGAACTATGTAGCAGATGTCGCATGTCAAATGAAAGCTAAAAGAAGGTAGTCTCAAATTTACCTTTCGAGCCACATCTCGGGAAAAATAGCTATATGGTGCAAACTTGAGTTTACACTTATCTCCCGTCTTGTGATTGACAATCTCTATCTCTCCAGACTGCAGGGAAAAAATATAAGAGAAAACGAAATGTAAAAAAATAAAGTGGAAGAACAACAAGAGTAAAAAAAGATTTGATTTGCATTATTTTACCTGGTCAATCCACAGTTTGCCAACAATTATGTTGTGAACAGTTGTGGTCACTTTCTTCCATGTATAATGATTCCCAGAGTTGTGAAATATACAGTGAATGGTACCTACGGAGTAACAATATGATTATAAAAATGGAAACAATAGCCGATTAAAAATCACTCCCACCTCTTCCGCTCATTGCCCCACCCCCCTTACTTATATCTTTCTCTCACCCAATGGCATGATGGAGAGATATTTTCCCCTAAATTTGCTAGTAATTTTTATCTCCTGTCGCAAGGTCCAGCCATGACGAGAGTCAGCATGGTGTGCAGCTGCAGGAGGGTGATGACTGACCTAAAGATATAAGAAGGTTTAGTTGTGCACAAGACCCACATTATCTCAACAGCTCCAGAACATGGCTTATTCTTTCACATTGCTTTCCTAGCTCTATACTTTATGTAACGTGCTGTACAAAAAAAATAAAAAAATAAAAATATATGCATTGCCATTGCTCTGTGGTTCACATTGTTTACAAACGATTAAATTTTTTAGAATAGGTCATCAACTTCTTCAGATTAAAGGAACATTCCAAGCACCATGACCACTGTGCAAGACTTGGCTCAGGAGACCTTACAGAAGCTTCTGGCTCTCAGTACCAGGAGGGAAGATGCAGGGAGTGGTGCCCAGGTACAAAATCAAACTGATAGCAAATAATTTGACTGCTTATTATTAAAAGAGAATAACAGCTTAACCAGACACAGGCTCTTCTGGAAGCTCCTGCTATTGGTTGTTATGGTTATGGAATATTCCTTTGACCCCTTAAGGACACATGACATGTGTGACATGTCATGATTCCCTTTTAATCCAGAAGTTTGGTCCTAAAGGGGTTAAAGGACCACCCAGACTACTTCAGCTCAATGAAGTGGTCTGGGTGCCAGGTCCATCTAGGATTAACCCTTTCTGCTGTAAACATAGCAGTTTCTCTGAAGCTGCTATGTTTACATATGGGTTAATCCAGCCTCTAGCGCGGCGCTGGAGAAAGGTAAGTGTTTAATCCCCTTCCTCCCCCTTCAGCCCGGCGGGAGTGGGACCCTGAGGGTGGGGGCACCCTCAGGGCACTATAGTGCCAGGAAAACGAGTTTGTTTTCCTGGCACTATAGTGGTCCTTTAAAGCAAAAAAACAGCACTTTAGTTTATGTTTTTGTATTGCATTAACTACTGCAAAGCTCATCTCGCTGAATTCCTCTAGCTTTCCTGTCCAAAGTCTCCCTCTCCATTGTTCAATCAAATGTTTTATAGAGAAGTAATTTATTTTACAGCTTTACCTGCCCGGAGTGCAGGTGTGTGCTCTGAGCTGGTTAGGGTAGAAAATTTAAAATAAATAGTAATTGGAGGGATCGCCCCGAAGGATGAGCGGAGTGAACACTACAGCTCATTATGCCTGTTGGGATGTGCACACTGACGACAGACATTAATTTTGCACAGTTCTGTACTGCCTAAGTCACTTGTGCCAGGGGTGCAGTTAGCCCCGAGCACAAAAGTGCAGATTCTCTGAATGCGTAACGTTTCAAGCTGAAGTGCTGCATATACAGATTTCTACCACCATGGCCGCATCTAAAAGTAGAGACAGCCATGGTAATTGGAGTAACCCATTAAGTAAATAAAAAATTTAAGAATTTAAAGTTATCTTTGTATGACATGTGATACACAAACCAAATGACAATGTAAACGGAATAATACGTTATCAATTATTCACATTATTCTTTCCAGTGATATTTCAGAGATAAATGATTGAATTTCCCATAATTACGTGTGCTATCAAATTTATAAGGTTGAAAACACATGAAGAAAGATTTGAAAAAGTATATTTTTAACTTTCATCTTACTTTAAAAATAGTTTTTATTATCCTCGATAATTTATACCTTTTTATTACTATACTACAACTTAAAGTGTACAACTGTAAATGATGCAAGCTCCTCAATATTGTACAAGTGAACTCTCAACGTAATATTTTTTAATTACAGTCAGTAGTGTGATATTTATCATACTGTTATTATATAACATTTAAATTTAAAGCTACATCCGTTAACGTTATTATTATACTTTTCCTTTCAGAGTCCCTTCTTTAAAAAGCCCATGGCATAGTATACTATTCTTCTTCTACTGAAAACCTGCCAGACTGGTTTAATGTTGTTTGGGGCCACGTGGGAGAGAAAGATCACTTCGCTCAGAACCAGAAGGAAAGGTTTCCGGCGTCACCTTTGTACAGAATGAGAGTTTGACGCCATTCCTGTACCACATGAGCCTCAGCTTGCAGTATAAGCCTTTTAAATGCTTTCTATTTAAAAAGTATAACAATATGCATAGTGTACTATTTTTCTCCTGTCTCTTCATTTTAAACATGAATGCTGAATACACAAACTTCAGGAAGTTGCCATGACTCGAGAGAGGCTATTTGAAAATCATATCCACACTTTTAATCTGAATTATCACATATTGTTTCTCACATGTGTGAATGAACTTTTGAATATCACTGTATGTAGAGATAGATAGATATATATATAGAATGGGGTATATTGACGGTGTGGCAGGCTTATGCAATATATGATCATATAATGTAACTAAACCCCCATTATTTTTTGCCTAGGTGAGGTGTTTTTAAATAAAACTATTACAATCTCTAAGATTTTGAAAGCATTGTTTAGTGAATAAGCGAGTGCGCTGGATTCTGTATTATATATATATATATTTATTATTTTCTCCCATTATATAAGTTGAAGCTAACTGTAGGAGTGTTCTTGGATATCTGGGACTTAATCGTGTCTAAACTTTAAGACAGTGCTTGCATAAAATGTTTCCCAGAAAACTAGATGTTACACCACAACCACCACCAAACAGCCTAGGAGTCACAATGCTTCATGAAGAAAAGAGCCAGGTAAACAACAATGGGCAGGGGGCAGTTGATGCACTCTATTGCAGGCACCAAGCATCCAGCGATTTCAGGTATTGCAATTTTTCTATGTAGATTTCTTTTCTCACACAGGCAACTGTATGTTGATCATATGGCATTAAAGTAGTCTGCAGATTTTGTTTGCCACATTATGCTGACAGCTGGGGCATTTTCATTCAAATATTAGCAGTTAGCTGTTGCCTACACATTGTATGCAGAGTGAATTCTGATTATATAAATAAATCTACTGATTATGTTTGTACAACTGCAATGAAAATATTGACCAAGTTCTTAACTGACTCTGCCCAGTTTATAAAATAGTCGTGCGCTACCATTGTTCTGTTCTACAGCAAATTAATACAGAAATGCACAGAGATGGGGTAAATTGACAAAATGTACTAAAATATCTGAAAACCTGTTTGATCTCTACATGGACATGTAATTCTGTCAGTACATTGTATTCATGGATTGTGCATTTAAAACCAGTATAAGTATATGGGACCTGAAATCATAATTGTACTTCTTCACATAAACATCACACAGCCATGAAGGTTGAGGCACAATTCCTGAAGAGCATCTTTTATTGACACAAAGAAAACTGCTCTGGCTTAAGTAATTTTATTCTATCCCACAAGTGTCCCATTAACACACCTGCTCACAGAGAGAGCGATACCCACTGTCTTCCATTCGATCCAGTTCGAAGGTCTCTCCGAGCAAGGGGTTGAAGGGTTTGCTGGTGCGGAAGACAGTGGTGGAGTATGAAGAAACGGTGAAAGCTGCTACAAGACAAAGCTGTTCGAGAGCACTCTCGCACTGAGCCCCCCGATCCAGCAGGGTGTGGTACTCCAGATCCTCTGTCAGACGCTGGAGCATGGAGAGCGGCTCGTTAAAGTTAACCTAGAAGAGAAATGTAAAAAGGTTTAGGATTGCCCAGCAGAAATTGATACATTTTACTCCGTTCTGAAAAGATTCTCTATGTACCAAGATTCAAAGTAAAAATGCCAAGGATTTTAGTATTATGTTTACTTAGTGGATATATTTTTTATGTATTTGTGAAGAGTGAAAATTAAAACACTTTATCCTGCAACTTAGTGTCTATCTTAGCTTCCTGATAATTATTATTATAAACTCTTTACTTGTCCCTGGCAGTCACCATAGAAACAGCATACAGAGAAAAGTACAAGTACAACTATGTTGCTATTTATCCTCAAGTTATTCTAGGCACCACAACTATTTCAGTGATTTGAAGTGATCATGATGCCTGGAGTCTGTATGTGCAGTGGTATCTGTGAAACGCTGCATATATAGAGTTTAAGTACTTTGATGCCAGAGGTGTAAGACCAGCTTTGGAGAAGCTGGATGTAATAAACTCTGCTTCAAAGGAGACCAAGCGCCAGGCAGGATGAAGTAAAAAGGCAAACTGTTGTAAAACGCTTTGCCCCATTACCGAACATGGGCACCTGAGTACACCTACAGCATTCTGTTATGGTTATGATGGTTGGAGTAACCCTTTAACACAGGTTATTGGTGATTTTCAATGGTTCATTTAGAAACAAAATATATACATATATTTATTATTATAGATCTATCCTGAACAGCTCAGAAAAAAAGTTTACTATTCATTACACATGCATTATAAAACCTGTAATGGAATAACCCAGGGATCTTCACAAGTTGAGTACACAAGAAGTTGAGAATCCATGTTGCAATTTTTTTCACAAAACAAAAAAACAAAACACAATAATTATGGGTAGAACAACCACAGTTTACATGGTTGTCAGAAATCTTAGGGCACCTGACCAAACCACTAGCCAAAGTCCCCAACATTCGCGCACTTACACAAGCACATACATATGCCTTCCTAGAAACATGCACATACAAAAAAAAAAAAAACAACACCACACTGCCATATCCACTCACAGATGCACAGTGCCACACACATTGACAGACAAGCTAAAACACAGATACATGTTGCAACACATATATACACATAGTGCACAATTAAACCCAACATCCACACACACACTCACAAAATTATTGAAATACAATTTGATTTCAGACACCACCTGTTTCTAACTTTCTTTTTTTCAGCAGTGGGTTTGTGGCTTCCATGGGGGCTACTCCACACAAGGCTCTGTTTCCCTTCCTCACTGCTTCCTTCACATGCTGGTTAAAAATCACTTCTTCCCAGCACTGACACACAGTAGGAGAATGGGAACACATCACAGCCAGGTAAGTGGCTCATATAGAACTGTAACCCCTGATGGCAGTCCTGATTGTTTACATGGTATTATACAATGTGATATGATCGACAGAGCAGCCCTTCTCGTACTCACAGGCATGGGAATCTTGCTGAGTTCTTTCCCAATACAATTCTTCATGACACTCCACAGATTAAGGCTGTAGTTGGGTTTGTGTGGGATTCGAGTACGTCTTTCTCTTCTCAGATCTTCAGAAGGGGGCCGCACCTGCTGGGAGAGGTGATAGATCATATTGAGAAGTATGATGTTTTTAAAAAAAAAACTGAAGGAAATATAACTGGACAAATACACTGCAGCTAAAGAATGCAAAACTGTACAGGCAATGGATGGAGATAGAAAACAGAAGAATAAGTAGAAAATAGCAAGCCGATTGTGTTGATGCAGAAGGCAACAGAGTGAAAGCCAACTGGCTGTGCAAAATTAGAAGAGCCAGATATCCATAGCACCTACAATTTTTCTGTCAACATCTTATGATGTGGGGGAGCTTTAGGTGAGACAGCAGGCAGACAAACACAGACAGAGCTGCCCACTGTCATACAAGGTGATGATATGACTGCCCTATGTGAACATGCAGCAGGCAAGTTACATTGATACATAGTCAGTAGTAGGATAACAGCAGAATCTAATCCAGCATGGTCGCTCAGCCAAATGAAGTGAAATTTACTGAAAATAAGTCTACAAGTGCTAGGAGTATCAAAAATAGATCAAAATAGGAGTATCAAAAATAGATCAAAATATAAAATAGCTGCTTACTCTGTAGGTGACCTACTACCTACTAGTAAAATAGAATTAAAATATAGAAGGCAAGATGCGTTTATTATATAATACACAAAAAAAAGCAAGAATGATAACTAAATTCTCAGTGGTAAAACTATTAAAAAAAAAAAAACCTAAGTAGAAAATATAATAAGTAAAAAAAAGTTATATATAATATAATATATATATATATATATATATATATATATATATATATATATATATATATATATAAATATAAATACATTTGTGGGAGGCGTTTTCCCTATATAAACTCAACCCCCCTACACAACAACCAGCACTTCCATCCCGGTCCATCCGACCGCTTTTTCACTGCTCGGACCAGAAGCCCATGGACCCGGCCTTCAGCGTATCCAACCCGGCTCCCATTTTGCAACACACCGGCTTGGTGTTTGTGTAGTATGTATATAGTGAATGCAGGGTGTGTGTACCTAGATGCTGACACTTAAGCTTTCGTTTAAAACCATTCGGTTGGGCATTTTCTTACTTTCACAGTTCTTATGTTTTTTGTAAACCATAAGGCTTGGTACAGGGTTACTTCACTATATATACTTTTATTTTTATCTCCTTATATGCATACCCATGAACATACCATGGTAAATATATTCACATGTTTGTGATTGTGGCGCCCCCGGTGGTATATGTTTTTTAAACTATACATATTTGTTGGTACAGGGTTCACTGTTCGTTTCAGCAGGTGCTGAATTTCACTCCATTTGTGCAGGCTTTTCGGTATGATGTTTCCTGCACTTATTAATGAATATGTGGTTCGGTTAAATAAACTTGCTTTTGTTGTTTTTTTCCGCTCACTACCTTCATCTGCGTATTTCAGTGTTGTTCCCAGTTCAGTACTTAACCGATGTTCTTACATTAACTGCACATTTTAAATTCACATATCCATTTGTAAGTATTTATGCACGCTAGGCTATATAGTCTATTATAAAATTGGCCCAGTTTACGATATAATAGCACTAGGTGGTCACATACGCCTGTTTATAATAATGCTAGGTTAAACACTATTTAAGTGCACAAGCCTTTTCAAGATATATTTTTTCCCATCTCGGTACTCCCTTTGTTCTCCCATTACACCACGTACTCTAGGTGCCCATATGAATTTAGTAGCAAACTTACTGGAGAAACCATTAACAGTGGTGTTCCTCCAGCAATTGTTTCAGGTATTTTATTCCTTACGTTTAAATTTTTCGTTAAACACGTATATTAAGGCCTAACTTTGCCTTTACACTTTGTGATTATTTAGGCATTTCATCGGACCCACGTTAGGTCCTCAATACGTTTACGTTCATTCAGTGACTTCTGTAGTACTATCTGCTTTCCAGCTTTTACAATTACTCCATTAGACTGCTGGTAATTCATCATTTGTGTTTACTACGCATTACTTTGGCGACCCATTAGTGGGATTACAGTACACCCAGGTTTAATACCATTTTTTAAATATCGTATTTTCCCAGGTATAATCCGTCCAGGTGTACGCTTTCATTAATTTCAGTACCAATTCAGATTATAGTATTGATCATCCTCCTGTTACAGTAATATGTTTCAAACGTCATATGATGTTACATTTACAATAGGTATGTTTCAAATACATGGGCTACCAATCAAACACGTCTACGTCAATCACTACGAATGCGATTCAGGTGTAATCCATTAGCATGTCTACTAAAAGATATGGTAAGCTAGAGTTTCCCACTTGTTTTAAATCAAATGTCGAGGCCTCACTCTGACTTTATTATGACCACCAAATACAAGTCAAACCCTTAACATTTACAAGGTGCTTGTCTCTGCACACCTGACCGTGCGTATTCAATCTCACGTCACGCAAATTAATATTACATACGTTTTACTATGTTACTTTACGTTTGAAGATATCCATAGGGATATTGACTTTCTGTCATGCTGTTTTTCTGTCTAGATTTTACACCTATAGAAATCTTATGACAGGGCTCGACAAATCCCAGGCGCCGGGTCGTCATGGCTGCTAAGAATTTTTTCCTGGTGCCTTGGATTTGTCAGCTCGTCCCCTCCTCCTCCTGTCTCACTATCTCTGCGCACCGAGAAGAACTGTAACTACTTCCTCCCGGCGCTGAGACGGCACAGGAGAAGGACAAGCTGAGCCGCAGAGCTGTACGCCTGACCGACCCCCCATTCTACAGAGCCGCCTGCACGCCCGCTCCTTCGGCAGAGCCGCCCGCACGCCGGTCCGCTCATTCCCCTCTGCTAGTTTACCGCTGGGAGAAAGTAGTTAAGTTCCTTCCACTTCCTCCCAGCACTGGGATACAGAAACAGGAGGGTGGGAGTCTGGATCAGCGGCAGCCCAAACCTATCAGACGCATCCAGCCCCACTGTAATCTGCTCCCACAAAGTAGGTAAGAAGATGGTAATATATGTATTTTTTTTCCGTGTGTGTATATAAATCTGTATGTGCATTAGTCTGTGTGTATCAAATAAAAAAAAATACTTCGAGCCATTACATTGAGCTACAGTGTAGGGATGTGCATGGTCAAAAATATTCGGTTTGGCACTTCTGAAATTCGGCACTTAATTAATTAGTTAATTCCCTAACCCTAAACGTTAATCCTAACCTTACCCCTAACCACCATAACCACTTACACATCTAGGATTAGGGGTAGGACTAGATTCCAGTCATCATTCATGTAATTTTCCCTCCCTCTCGTTTTGCCACTTTTCAGAATGACAAAGCACTTCGGCACTTCAGAAATTCAGAAGCATCCGAATGTCCAAAATTTGTCTGAATTTACATTCGGAATAAAAACGAATTGCACATGTCTACTACAGTGGTTCTAGTGACTATAGTGTTCCTTTAAGAATTGTATTTTTTGTTGTTGGAAAAGAAAACTGTCTCCTAACTTTTAGCAGTCTCCTATATTTAAAGCAAATTTGGCAAGCCCTGACTTAGGATACAGACAATTTGCGATCCCAAGCCTAACAGGTAAACTATTATAATGTATTTATCATACAGACACATATCATCTATAAATTTAAACCACAATCAGACTCTCCTCTTCATGTTCCGCTCATTAAGAGCAAATTTTTTCCCTTCTGTTAGTCACTGTATATCCCTTCTATTTTTCGGTTTACATAACAATCGTCAGTTTCATCAGGTATATTTTTTCCAGTCCTTCTCTCTCTGATTCTATCCGTTTGTTCACGCACGTATGTTTACGCTCATTCACAAAGAGATAAGCCCCGCCTAGGGTAAGAGACCTGGCTTTTAGGGATAGGAGCTGGCTTTAGTCTAAAATAATCGAACATACGAGTCCCGCGAGGCCAACACTCCTAGTTAGTGCCTTGCATATTCTTCTGCAGGGTCATAGTCAGGGACTCACTTTACGGCCACACATATTTATGGTCACCGAGAGGCCAACACCTTGCTATAACGCATCGTAGCTACAAGCCAACACGGCCCAAATCATAGGAAGAGCCTCTCGCGGCAACTAGTACGGCCTCACCGGTCACTGGGTAGTTAATTTCTTCGCCAATCAGCACTAATTAGCGAGCCAGCTCAACATAAGGGATATTTTCAATTTGCATCAAAGTTTTGCATGGTTAACTCATTAATTCCTTACAGGATGCTGCAAGAAATAGTTCCAGGTGACGTTCTATCTCTAACAGTCACTCCAACCCGTAGAATCCCCTGTCCCCGCCACTCCCAAGGCCCTGCTTAAAATTGGCGGTTGAGCTTAAAGTCATGAAAGCAGCATCTTTCCGGCCACGGCTGAAAAGGCTGCATATACCCCGAACAAGCTGGTCATGCCCTAGAGCGGCTCACGCCAGTAATTAAGTTAACTCACTATAGTAATCAGCCTATTTCAGTCATTCATAGCATCACAGTGATACCTTTTCCACAGAGAGTATTAGGTCCTCTCTTAGCCATTTCGACTTCTACGGAATTCTAATTAGTCCCCTATATGGCTAGGTGTCACAGCAGACTGGATTAAAGTTATGTCAGGCTCAAACTTTGGTATATACATACACTCGGTTAAACAACATTTTAACTGGTATATACGTTCACCGTACACATTTAACGCCATCTCTACATAGGAGTTTTTCTGCAAATTAAGGTTTTGCTCTAGATTTAGTTGTTCGTTACGTAAGGATTGTTGGTATTGGTTTTCTTCCAATAAGTTTTTAGCATGTTGACAATACTGCCAAAATTATCTGTACACGTGTTATGTTCCACATAAACACTTTCACCATATGTTCTCATTTACATTGTTTTAATTAACAAAAATTTCTGTCCTCTCCAATACCACTACTCACTTATCCATCTCTGTGCTATCCCAAATTTATATTAGGCCAACACGGGCCTACGTATTGGGCAATTACCCGCCAACAAATACGGTCTTGTTACAGGTTTACAATTCACATACAATCTAGAGTTTAATCTTTATTAGAATTTTATTTACTACATAATTTATGTAGGGTTTAAGCTCATGTTCTATGCTGTTAAATGTATGTAAGTCACCGGGTTAATTCTAGTCACTTATACTAATCTTCCTTTTTCAACAGTATTACCCCAGTATTACCCCAACTTGCGCCATTACAGTCCATAATGAATGCTGTAGCGAGGCTCATCTTCCTGTCCGCCCGCACCTCCCACGCCTCACCATTCTGTCAGTCCCTACATTGGCTTCCTGTAAGATATATGGCTCATTTTAAAATTCTGGACTTTCCTCCTAGATCAGTGATGGCGAACCTTTTTGAGCCCGAGTGCCCTAACAGCAATACATGCCAACTTTTTTTTCCCCTCAAAGTGCCAACACGGCAATTAAACCTGAATACTGAGGTTTACGTTTAGAAAAAACAACTCGTACAGTTGTCCGAACTAATTAACAACTTTTGTTTTAAAAGAACTGAACTGCTGAATACACACACACAGTCTGCTGAATACACACACACACACACACACACACACACAAGACTGCGGAATACAGAGACTGATGAATACACACACAGTCTGCTGAATACACACACACAGAGTCCGCTGAATACACACACACACATACTGCATTTAGGGGTGCAGTGTATGTGTTTGTGTGTGGGGTGCTGTGTGTGTGTGTGTGTGTGAGGGGTGCTGTGCTGTGTGGAGTGGTAGGGGTGCTGTGCTGTGGGGGGTGCTGTGTGTGTTGGGGGTAGGGGTGCTGTGTGTGTTGGGGTAGGGGTACTGTGTGTGTTGGGGGTAGGGGTACTGTGTGGGGGTTAGGGGTACTGTGTGGGGGTTGTGGGGGTTAGGGTTGTGTGGGGGTTAGGGTTACTGTGTGGGGGTTAGGGGTGTGGGGGTTAGGGGTACTGTGTGGGAGGGTAGGGGTACAGTGTATGGGAGGGTAGGGGTACTGTGTATGGGAGGGTAGGGATACTGTGTGTGGGAGGCTAGGGGTACTGTGTGTGGGAGGGTAGGGGTACTGTGTGGGGATAGGGGTACTGTGTATGTGTGTTGGGGGTAGGGGTACTGTGTGTGTGGGGGTTAGGGGTGCTTTGTCGGGGTAGGGGTACTGTGTGTGTGGGGGGTAGGGGTACTGTGTGTGTGGGGGTTAGGGGTGCTTTGTCGGGGTAGGGGTACTGTGTGTGTGGGGAGGTAAATCTTACCTTTAATGAAGGGGGGGGTGGGGGGGCACAGCCATCCCTGGTGGTCCGGTGGTGGTAAGTTCTATAGGGAGCAGCTCCCCAGTCCTCCCGCGCGATGCTGTGTGGTTTTTTGCCATGGTAACGCGCGGCAACGCTCTACACAGCTTGCTCGCGGGAGGACAGGGGAGCTGCTTCACAGATCCCTCCCCATGCCTCCCGACACGGAAGCAGAGTAGGCGCCTGCCATTTCGGGCAGGCAGGTGCCTAATCTGCATTGATGGCGAACCTATGGCCGCGTGCCGACAGAGAGGGCACGGCGTGCCACCTGTGGCACGCGTGCCATGGGTTCGCCATCACTGTCCTAGATGCTCACACAGTCTCCACTCTTTCAAAAAAATCATTAAAAATCCACATCTTCATAAAAGCGTTTCAGTTAAACTGTTAATAGCTCCCGACTGATTCCTCTCTTGCAATTGTCATTAGACTAATACTATCCTTACCTTTTGTGTCACTTTACCCCACTCCCTCTAGCATGTAAGCTCATTGAGCAGGGCCCTCAACCTCTCTGTTCCTGTGTGTCCAACTTGTCTGGTTACAACTACATGTCTGTTCGTCCACCCACTGTAAAGCGCTGTGGAATTTGTTGGCGCTCTATAAATATTAACATAACATCATAAGTATGGCGCACGTGTTCAACAGACTCCAGTTTCTCAATGTACAATGTACTCCTCTTGCTTTTATAAGGTATTTCAATTTGGACCTTTAGTGGTCACCTATAATTCACTGTCACCAAGTCTCACCATTTTATACTACCCACGTTACAGGTAAGTAGTCCTTCATTGCAGCTACGCTTATCTTGACAGGTTAGGTTCAATCGATCACTTATCACTCAGCCTTACCACTCCTATCGGGTACGCAAAAACCCCTATTCTCAGGACGTCAAGTGTCTTGGCCCTTTATACTTGACCCACACATGGTGCACCCTACGTATACTTTCTACCATTTCAATCAAGTTATGTTTTCATGATCATTTACGTTCTTTCTCTACATTTTCTGTCTAAGGGGAGTCGACTTCTCTCAAGTTGGTTGTTACGTTTGTATAGAAGTACCTCATTTGTTCTCACTAATCTTTACTGGCTACTGTAACCTTGTACGTTGCTCCTCTGTTTATAGATATCAGATTTACATTACTCATAGGTCACAGTCAGGTTTTTCCCTTACAGTGAAATACGCGCACCTTTCTAAGGGTAAGTGGAGTTACGGCCTTCCTTCCACTTTCCCTATTATCTACGCACGCTTCATAGTAATCTGTTTGTCCTATCTCTGTAGGGTGTACTTTCCAGGTCTCTCTCTTAGAGACCATCTTGGTTACCAAGATAGGTACATTAACCATTACACTCATATACGATAGATTTCAAACCCCGGTACTGGGATAAAGGTTCAGGTGCCGGTCAGGGGGTGATAATCTCACAGCAGTCATGCTATCCCGATCTCAATTTCAACAATGTTCTACTTGTACCCACCATCAACATACATTTGACAAAACCCTGGCATTTACAGAAGCTGGTTATGGATTTATGTTACTCGCATAGTCACTATTCCATCACATTTGCTCTATGCATGCCAAACAACTTACGTCAGGAAATTACAGTTTTTAGTAGGTTAAGTTTGAGCGTCCCTTCACAGGTAATCACTACATCAAGACCATGATGACCTTTTGGCCTTTCTACCATTTACAAATAACGCAGTATTAATTTAAATTTTTACTTGTTAGATTTTGTACTTGAGGTTTCTCCCTCCCCCCCATCACTGTTTTACCACTGAGCATTTAGTTGCTTTTATTATCCTTGCATTTTTGTGAAGAAATGAAACTTGCTAAAAAAAATAAAAAAATAAAAACCAACAAAAAACTAAACATTACATTTCATAAAATGTTATAAACATAGCAAATGAAAAGTGTAAATTTTACAGTTGTCATTTAAATGCAGGGATATATAGATAATAGCAGGTATAAGAGGTAGACAGAGACTGTAACATTGAGATCACAAGATACTCTTCTAAATTCACATTGCATGAATGCTGACAAGCTACAAGCGGAAACAGGAGGCTGACCCAACCCAGACAAAGAATAGGCTCCACCAATAAGGAGCTTCTTATGGTGCTCTGCAGGTTTTTACTTCTTTGCCTGCAAACCTCTAGTCAGCGTGACCCAATGCCATACATGTTATCCACAATTAAACAAACACACACACACACTATACTCTCTAGCCCTGTCACAATCACTCCATGAGATACATGTAGCATACATGTATGCTCTGCCTTAGAGGTTGCATCTTTAATTCAGAATTCAAATGCTTACGTGTTCCTCCATTATATCATAGCTCGCTGTGCTTATGTTACTTCCAGAACGCCTGCAAAAGGCAAGATTTTTTTTATTTTTTGAGACAATTCATAAATGTTTGTTTTTGCAGCTGTTTTTCTATTTTACATTTTTAAAAGCATTTATGGGTTTTCCCACCAAGAACAAAATTTTTAAGAATTAAAAAAAATATATATTTTTTTTTTACAAACATTAGAGAAATAAAGGCTGTTTAACATATAGTAAACTAACGCTAGATTAACAAATGTAGTTGTATTTATACTGATGAAGCAGAACGGTCACCACAGTAATGGAGTAAGGGGCATGTTGCTCAATATGTTGCTCTCATCAAGTTCTTCACCCAGATGTCTAACAATGATCCACATTTTAAAAAAAATTATGGATTTGAAAAAAAAAATGTAGCAGTGGTAAATAAGCCATCTTCACAGCCACTTTTACAAATGCTTGCTACATTTCCTCACATTTGAGAATATATATATATATATATATATATATATATATTTTTTTTTTTTTTTTTTTATTTATTTATTTATTTCAGTGAATACACACTAGTCTTGTTTGTTGTAAAGCTACTTACACATCCCTTTCTTTGGTGATGAGGATAAACTTGAGCCCAAAACATCTCTACTGAATCTAGAAAAGCATTTCTGCAGAATTAGGCTTTTTTCATTACTTCAAATGTTGAATCACCTTGAACACCAGTTTTAACATTACAGTCTTAATGGCCTTTGACACCCTCACATTTCTGTCAGGTATATATTTTGGGAGTGAGGAGACATAGGTGCATTGCCCAAGTCCAATGAGACTAGCTCGAATGTGAAATAGTCCTAGTTTTTGTGTTAACTTTGTATGTTGTAGCCCAGTCCTTTCAATGAGTCTTCATATGTACACATAGCACCTGGAAATTTCTAAACATCTTAGAAAATGTCCTATTTATGGTTTCAAACTCATCTGAATTTTGCCTAGTTTTAAGGTATCAGAATATATTAATTCAATTGATTTTAACAGAGTGTATTGTATGCATTCCCCTTTGCAAATGTATTAATTTTTGATACACGAGTATTATGGAAATATAAGTATGACGATTGTTTTAACTTAAAGAGATTGACTAAACACATTTATTTTCTTAACTTATTATTAGCATAATCTCTACCAAAATATGTTCCATTCTCACCTGTGCCCAAGACCATCTTGTGAAGAACTACTGATAATTTCTGGGGCATCAAAAAATTCATTCTCATCGTCCTCATCACTGAGGTCCCCTTTCCCCGCCCCGCAGGGGTCTAAGAAAGAACAACGGAAACATTTTGAATGTGTCAAAAATTGTGTAAATGCATGTGAAACAAATATTAGTCTGAGGAGACACTTGAGAAACTCTGGAATCTCACCTTTGGAGGCCCCAGTATGGGTCTCTGCTGGCAGCACAGTGGCTCCACGGAATGCCCGCTCCAGGTGGTTATGCTGCTTTGCCAATTGTTCAAGCGTCTCTTCCAAACGAAGCCTCTGGTCTCTTTCATACTGCAAAGCTCTCTGCCAGCGTTTACTGTGACTCTCCGCAAGAGACATAAAGTCTCGACAGGCCTTAGAAAAAGGAATGCATCATAAAAAAATTTATTTATTTTTTTAAATGAAGGTAAACAAAGCATGAAAATTTATTTCAATAATTAGCCATGGTGCATCATGGAGTTTGGAATTAAAGCTGGATATTTGGCTTAGAGGTATAAAGATGTGTATCACAGAGTGTAAAAATGATTAGGAAATTCACTGTAATAAAGTGTAAAAGCTGGGATTTTAGGGATATAAAGAGGGTCTTACGAACTGGACAGTAATAGCCAATCTTGCTACTGCAGATGTGAGTAAATTACACACTGCATTAGGATTCACTGTGCATATGTAAATACCTTTGTAATCATCTTTGAATTTTTGGAAAAATATCCAATCTGAGAATCAGCTATGGAAAATTTAAAATTTTGCATTACTGCTTTTTTAGCATAATTTGTTGCTTTGTGTGCAGACCTCCAAGATGGGTTCATTTAAGAACTCCGCCATATTTGCAATGCATAAGACTGCTCCCCCCCACAGTGAGTATGAGTATTGCTGAGCCAAGTTAGATGTAGATAACTAACCTTTTTGAAAATGCAATTTTATGACAATTGTTTTGCTTCTACTATTGAGAACTACGAAATCCTCGACATTTCCTCACCTTTCAATGGAACTCCCATGTTATCTGATGCTAATTTAACAGAGTATGGAAGATCTTGGAGGCCAGCCTCCTTCCTGGACATTATGGGCCCTCTGCTATAACTCCAAATTGACTCTGCGCATACTATGGGTTTGCCACCAAAAGACCAAGTGTGCATATAATGGTATTGCTGTGGTGCAGTTTATAGTTATTTTCTAATAACTATTTGCGTCAAGGTTTCTGGAGTTATTTGTAATTGCAATTAAATCGGTACAGCCCTACCGGTTTGATAAGGTTAGTTCAGCTCAGAGAGTCTGGCACTAGGTGTATGTGTAATTTAATTAAACATGTTATTGGTTGCTAGTTCAAGTTACTGGTTGTTCTATTTTTCTATATAAACTGGTGTCCAATAAAATATACATTGTTTTTCCCTTCACTAAGTTTTGTCTGGTGCTTGGAGAAAAATTAAAATGAGCTACCCAGCACTTCATGTGACTGCCTGATTGTTATGCGAGAAGAAAGGAGCTAACAGAAGAGCTCCTGGGGGTTGCTTAAAAGAGCCATTGAAGACAGGTATGATTAAGTAAGCAGGTATGATCCTCAAGCCTACGACCAGTCTCCCTGCTCCTTTTACATCATCCTTATTCTCGGTGTCTAAAAATGTTTTGTTGTCTTTGTTCTCCTCATTATAAAACTATAAAAGTAATCATATGTTCTCTATAAATTTATCTCCATTATAAAGAATTTCAGAGGAAGTGTAAAACACCATCTTCTGTACTGTTTTTCTAAATAAAATATTTACATTTAAAAAAAGTCCTGATTTTGATGTATTACGTCTCTCTTAAATAATTAAAAATTTTTAAAAAAATCTTCTTTTCAAAATTGGAGTTTACTTGTGACTGTGATATTACGCTTGGTGAAAGCAGAAAGGCTGGCAAGTCTACAAGTGTTTGGAACCTATTCATATTACCATTAAAAATATATATATATATATATTTATATTTATTTTTATATACATTTCCGTTTAGCTTTCTATTTCTTTTCAGTAGAACACCTCAGTGTTTTACCTTCTTTAGTGCCCTCGTCTCTTGTGTTTCAAGTGTTGGGCATTAATCCTGAATAAATACTGTTTCTCCCCTCCCTTTCCCTTCTCACATTTATCATGGCATTGGAGGTGATCCTGAAGAGTGTGGCTCGCTCGTTGACTTGTTTGATTTTGTCAGAGCTGTCCTGGGGTAAGCGCAGGCTTTCCAGTTCACTCAGTGATCGTTGTAGGGCTGTTCCATGCTTCGCAATTAGGTCATTGCACGTACCCAAATCTTCCACTTTACCCGAGAGAGCACGGAGTGTGCTGTGTACCTCAGCTTTGTCTGTCTGAGCAGAGTCCTCATCTCCTGACTCATCTGGGTGAAAGAGAGGATTAAAAAGGGGGGGTGGGGGGGGGAGGAAATTACATTAAAAGAAGAAATAAAAATTATTGGGGATGAACAATTCAGAAATGTTCTATACGGGGTCTATTTAAGAGGGAAAAAAATACAAATTACAGTATGGTGTTTATATGTGACATTAACTACTGTTCACTTCAATATACTGGCAATATCAGCTCCACTGAACTGATATTTCCCTCAATTAATAGTTTCCCTCTTCATCAAGCTTACCGGACTCTGCCTGCATCTTGACTGCACGGGCCTTAGCAAGCTCCAGGGCAGTGATCCATCTCTGGCGTTCCACTTCAGAGCTGGCCTTTAAGTGATATGTTTGGGCCCCACCATTGGAAATCACAAAGTTACATGAATCTTCTACAGAGATGTTGGCTGTGGCGAGATTTATAGTGCCACGGCAAGTGTGGCGCATCTCTGCCTTGGATCTGAATAATAAATAATTACAAATATACGTTATTCTCAACTCTTATATTTAAGCAATCACAAGTCATGGCAAACTGGAACTAAAACAAAAATGACAATAAGCCTCAATAGCCCCTACAGGACAGATAACACACTACTGGGATTTTACAGCCTGTTCACAAAATACTTAATACAAAAACAAAATTGAAGAACAAGCGCTCACTATCTCATAAAAGCAAGTATAGCTGATGTGATAGAACAAACAAGTAAAACTAATAGAGAACTATTAACAAAAAAAGCTCCACAAAGTCATAAAAATAATAAATTTACTCTCCCATTTATATTTGACTGCAATAATAAAAACAAACAAATTAAAGGACCACTATAGGCACCCAGATCACTTCAGCTCAATTAAGTGGTCTGATTCCAGTGTCAAAAATGGATTCACGGATTCCAGTGTCAAAAAAGATCCCCATAGGAAAGCATTGAGTAATGCTTTCATATGGGCGGGTTTAAAAGCGATCGGGCCTCGGGCCGCGCATGAGCATTCGGCTCCACTCGGAAGCAGACGTCGATGAAGGAGGAGTGGTCACAAGTGCTGATGGGACACAATTAAGGACACAATCACATGTAACAGTAAAAATATTGTCTATTTATTAGATTGCCCTTGCGGACTACAATTTGTTCTTAATTTAGACTAACAACATTTTAATTTCCTTTTGGGTGTTAAATATATTATTCCAAAAAATTTAATTATGGCATCTCAAATAATCATATTTACTACATATTTACATACTTTTAATTTATGTTCCAGGCAGTTGCCAATGTCAAAGATGGCTGCATGACCACCGCTTTTATGTTTTTTCCACAATGTCGAGACAGAATTATGCCCATATTCAATATATTTGCTCATAGAACAACCATTTACTATTCACTACTATATACACACATATATATAATACACATATATACACACACACACACACGTATATATACACACAATACCAAACAATTTTGCACTCCAGCTATCCTTGAAATGTTGCCTGGTGTTCTGCTGCACAATAGATAGATGAATGAGAAAAGCCAGCACTCTAGGTCTTGCAAAAAAACTTCTCAGGTTTATTCCAGCAATTAGTCAACATTTCAGTTCTATCAGAACTTTCCTCAGGACATAAATAATTATGTCCTGAGGAAAGTTCTGATAGAACTGAAACGTTGACTAATTGCTGGAATAAACCTGAGAAGTTTTTTTGCAAGACCTAGAGTGCTGGCTTTTCTCATTCACACACACACACACACACACACACATACATATATATACACATATATATACATATACACATATATATACATATACACATATATATACATATACACATATACACATATATATACATATATACATATACATACATATACATATATATACATATATACACATATATACACATATATATATATATTTTTTTTTTTTTTTTTACATATTTACACCGAACCTCCACCCGAATCCAAGACGGTACGCCCGGAGGTCTCCCGCACACGTCACATACGAGTGACGCTCGCACTACGATTACAACATACAAGAACCGAAAATGACAATGAAACTATTTCCGAAAACCGGAAATAGCTACACACCGGAATCGGACATCATTTAAAGACCATATAAATTACAGAGACCCAATCTGCAAGCATCCACTTTTGAAAATGTTTTGGAGAAACGCGTGAGGAGGAGTGAGGACTACAACATTAGACTGGTTTATTTATATAAATTTTTTCCACTGTGTTTATTTTACTTATCCTGTTTTATTAATAAAGTACTTTTTATACTATATATACCCAGTCCAGTATATACTTACCTTATTTCCAGATTTCTTGTTGTTGATCCGGATCCACACATATCCCAAGGTAAGGATTGTTCCACCTAAGGTGCTATACACTAGAGCAGGTCATTGCTCTAGGTGATGTAAGTAGGTTTTATCCTTTTTACATTACTGCGACTCTACATACTATACAATTTGGGGTTTTTTATCTCCTTTTTATATGGTGACCCTTTACCTACCTGAGAGTCAAGCTAAGCTGATATTCACAAAAAAATCCTTAGACAGGGATTATTCCATCCAGGCTTACGAAATAGAGCTTATATAGCTCTACAAAGTGTGAGTGTTCTTTTGGCACTACTCTAATACTTGCACAAATGTGATAACATACTGCACTATTATTGTGTCCTTTCTCTTTAAGATGTATATCTCTGGATACTGCCCTCTCCTTTATTTACATACGTAACTTGAACATTGAACATCTAGCGCTGTTTACCTTGTTTTTAATAGTTAACAGCTAAAGTTTAATTTTATAAATCACATTATAAATATTAGCTAACAAACTCAAATACAAATCTGTTGGACAAGATCTGGGCACAAGAACCCTTTGTGTTCAATGAAATAGTACACTATGAGCCCTCACAATAGACAGTATACATCTGTAAGGTTTTTCATTAAAATATTCTTCTAGAACCGGGGTTATCAAACTATGACACTCAAGGTGGCTTTGCACGGCACTCAAGGCTGCCAGAGCCAAACAGTTGGACTTCAGATCTGCTAGTGAAACTGGGCGGTGATTGCAGGTGGTGAGGTACAATTCTCAATTTACACATTGCAGAATTTAGAGGAAGTAATCTCAGATCTTACATACTTAAACCCAGCCCCTTATTTGCAAATATACCTTTAGTGCCTACTTATTTTATAATTACATTTTCAGACTTTAGTTTATAGCAGTTGTAAATATTAGGAATCAACCAATATTGATTTTTTTAGATACCGATAATCTGTGAACTTTCAGGCCGATAGCCGATAACTTACCGATACTCTGAACGTTTACCGTTTAAAAAAAAATTTAAAGCATTTCCACAAATCTACCGTTAACTGAAATTGTTTATTTCTTTTTTGCTAATTTTTTTAATTAAGTTAAATGCACAAAATAAACATGCCAGTCAGAATTTTTTGTTTTCAAGAATATGTGTGTGTGTATAGTGAATGCAGTGTGCGTAGTGTGTGTGTGTAGTGTGTGTGTATAGTGAATGCAGTGTGCGTGTATAGTGAATGCAGTGTGCGTGTATAGTGAATGCAGTGTGCGTGTATAGTGAATGCAGTGTGTGTGTTTGTGTAGTGTGTATAGTGAATGCAGTGTGTGTGTTTGTGTAATGTGTATATAATGAATGCAGTGTGTGTTTGTGTAGTGTGTATATAATGAATGCAGAGTGTGTGTTTGTGTAGTGTGTATATAATGAATGCAGAGTGTGTGTTTGTGTAGTGTGTATATAATGAATGCAGAGTGTGTGTATTTGTGTAGTGTGTGCTTGTGTAGGTATGTTAAGTGTGTAAAATTGTAAAATTGGGGGGAGAAGGGGTGGGGCATTTTTTTATTTTATTATGTTTTAGTCCCCCCCTCCCTGCTTCTTACCTAGACAGGGAGGGGTGATATGGTATTCCCTGGTGGTGTGGGCTCTGCAGGGGGGCACAGCACACTCTTACCTTCCCAGCAGCTCCCTTCAGCTTTCCTGCCTAACTCTCGCGGCCTGTGTGTCGCGCGGAGCATTGCCATGGTAACTCATTCTACAAAATTAGGGACACTATAGTATTAGGAATAAAGGTTCGTATTCTTTTTTTAAGGCAAAAATAGTCCAGCTGTGACCATAGTTGAGTTATAATCTTTTTAGGCAAAGTTTTCTAAAACACTTGCTGTTGCCACAAATTTTGTAATTCTGTTTAAAACTCAAAATTCTCTAGTCTAAAGTATGGATTGTAGGGAACGCAAATAGAATGTTTAATTTATGGCCCAGAACAGCCAATCTAGATAAAGTCTCAGATGCCTACAATTTGAAATTCACTTTCAGTTCCCAGTGATCCACACTACTGAATAAGCATTATAGTTTAGCAATTTAACAGGTTTCAGTCAGTTGGCATGTCTGTCTACCAAATAGCTGACAGATTATGGTGGGCTGCAGAGGGAGTAAGAAATACATCCTTATCACACACTCTGCACTACTGGTAGCTTATAGAAAGACTTGTCTTTGCTCGTATAACTCACTTCCTAAATTCTAACTCCCTCCTCAATCCTCTTCAATCTGGCAACGCTCCTTCAGTGTCTCTTTCTCCAACAGCACCTCCTCTCCTCGTCCTGTCTCAGTCAGAGTCCCTCAAAGTTCAGTTCTTGGTCCCTTTTGGTATCTCTTTATACTGCATCTCTTGGCAAACTCATTAATTCATTTGGATTCCACTACCACCTGTACGCTGATGACACCAAGATATATATCTCCTTCCCTGACCTCTCCCCGGCTGTCCTACAACGTGTCACCAATTGCCTTTCTTCTTTCTCTGATTAGATGCCCTTCCGCTTTCTGAAATTCAATCTCTCTAAAACTGAGTTTCTTATTTTTCCTCCTTATAACACTGATCCTCATCCTTCACTCTCGACGGTACCTGCCTCACCCCATCCTTTCAAGCTCGCTGTCTTGGTGTCACTTTTGATCCTGGCCTCACCTTTGCGCCTCATGTCCAGTCTGTTGCTAAAACCGGTCGATTCCAACTTAAAAACAATGCCTGCATACGCCCCTTTCTTACGCAAGATGCTGCCACGGAGCTTGTTAATGCTCTAGTAATCTCTCACGATTATTGTAATTCTCTCCTAATTGGTCTCCCCAGAAGCAGTCTTGCCCCTCTACAATCTGTGGTGAATGCTGCTGCCAGGCTGATCTTTCTCTCCTGTCGCTCCTCTCCCACCTCACCCCTAGGTCAATCCTTACACAGGCATCCTGTTCCCTACAGATGTCAATTTAAAATACTAACCCTTAACTATAAAGCTCCAACCAACTTTAGCCCCACTTACATTTCTGCACTGATTCATAGGCATGCCCCCTCTCGGTCTCTCCAGTCTATTAGTGACCTTCTCCTGTCTGCTGCTCGCAATCTTACTGCAAATTCACGGCTGCAAGACTTCTCACGGGCAGCTCCTTTCCTTTGGAACAGCCTGCCTACCCTTGTCATACTTTCTCTTAACCTATAATCTTTTAAGAAGTCCCTCAAAACCCATCTTTTCAGGAATGCTTATGGCCTCCAAGAGTAACTTATCTCTCAAACCTTCCTCTCGCTCTCTCCTATAGGGTCACATTCCACTCTCACCTCCAGTTCTGCCACTTTCCCACCATGTCTATTTGCTGTCGCTCTCAATACCCTTCCTATTGTGTTTTTATACCTAACCTCCTCTAGACTGTAAGCTCGTTTGAGCAGGGTCCTCAACTATCTATTGTTGCTGTTACATTTTGTTATTGTCTCATTTGGTAAATTACCCTTTTATTGTAAAGCGCTGCGGAATAAGCTGGCGCTATATAAATACCAACCTATAATTCTGTTGGCCTTAAGATAACACGATGTAATGATTCTTATTGAGTTAAATGTTGCCTAAACCTTTCTAAAGTTTAGAGAAAAAAAAAAAAAAAAAAAAAAGTACCTTGTCCCTGGGACTTTCCATACTATTTCCCATACCTTGAATGTCTCTCAAAAGCTGCAATGTTATGTGATTGTGTTAAAAAGTATTGTTTTCTGAAACATGGTCTAAAGTACTAAACATGTGTAGTTGTCAACCGCCCTAAATTTGCTGGGTGAGTCCCATGTTTTGGGCTACTGTCCCAGCAAAAATAAGTCCTCGAACCTGTCCCACATTCTAGGAGCAGAACTACCAGTGGTGCAGTCAGTGTCCACGGGAAGGTGGTTGTCAATATGTGTTTTCTTTATTGCTCTGTGTTTTATCAGTTTGTGTTTGTATGTGAACATTTGTGTGCGTTGGTGTACATCTGTGTGTCCGTGCATACTCGCCATGAAAACCAGTGGAACCCCATAGTTCACTGCATTGCCGACTCTCTTATTTCAACATTGTTCTATTTGCAGAAAAGACCATTTTTTATAAATAACCCTCATAATTTCCTACTAGGATTGCAAGTCAGAATGAACTTGTTGAATTGCATAGAGATTTGAGGTAATCAGCAGGTAGTTCTGTGCCAGATCTACAAGTCCAAAGAAGCTCTATAAACAATGCTAATAGAAAAGCAGTGGATCTTTCATTGGACAAGCATCACCTAGCATTATAATGAGACAATAGCTCCGGAGATAAATTGTCATTTACAAAAAGACCAAATACATTCACAAAGCCAATTATTCATTCTTTGTTAAAAAAAATTAAGTTATACAAGAGGGCAAGAAGAGATGTATGCACCGCCTGGTTTCCCTCTCATGGAACTCTTCCCTTCTTCGTCTTCTGGGCATGCAAGAAGCAAGGTCACTAGTGTACGCTTGTGCATAAACAAGAGTCATAACCGGGGTCTGTGGAGGAAGCCACCTTTTATGCACTATAAATAAAGTTATTTATGAATGCGGACAAGGCTTTATTTTTTTTTATTTTTTAAATGTCTTTTCACTGCTTTTTCTGTTTGTTCTTTAGAACATGTTCTCCAGAGTTTCTCTCTCAGTAAGAGACATTTAAAAAAAAAAAAAAATTTAAAAAGCCGCATAGGCATTTATGACAACACAGCATGTATTTTTCTATTTTTTTTTTCTGGTCTATAAATATTTATTTTTATTTTTTGGGGGGGAAAAGGTGAGTAAGTGTGAAAATAAGTCTGCTATCCAGGAACATTATCTAGAACAGAGCTCTGCTGTAAGAACGCCTGGACGGTACAATCCCCGTCTTTGGATTTGCAGAAGTTTCCACGAATATTTCCACAATGCAGTGAGCGTAGTAAATATGAAAGGAAAAATAGCAGCAATATGGTGAAGTAAGTACTAGTAGTATGACCAATATTAAATAGTATTGTACTTACAATTTCTAGAGCATATGCGGCCGCCGCATTATTTTCGCATTGGAACATGCCCACACCCTCTAGAATTGGAGGCTGGGGCGAGTGATGCCTGAAATTTTATCCACACCACTCATTGGTGTTACACACACCTCTGGGCATTTAGACATTATTATTTTTCTGCATCTCTTTGTACTATAGACGCCGCGATCATTTCCGGTCGGACGCGAGCACTACGTCACTTCCGGTATGACACGTGCGTGTCAGCAAACAGCCGGAACCAGGAAGTAAGCACACCAGGACACTATCTCTACATTAAGAAGGATATATAAACGGACTTATTGGACATTATACCACACTTCTGAAGAAGCCAACCTGGCGAAACGCGTTAAGTGGGACTACATTTTATGTTTTATAAAATTTTATTTCTATTCAGCTTGTTTATATTAAAGTATACTTTTTAAAGTTACTTTTATATCCACTCCAATCTTTTATTTTACTTCCTGGATCCTGCATATCCTTGGTGGGGATTATACCACCTATGCTGTTTATACTAGAGCAGGATATATGCTCTAGAAATTGTAAGTACAATACTATTTAATATTGGTCATACTACTAGTACTTACTTCACCATATTGCTGCTATTTTTCCTTTCATATTTACTACGCTCACTGCATTGTGGAAATATTCGTGGAAACTTCTGCAAATCCAAAGACGGGGATTGTACCGTCCAGGCGTTCTTACAGCAGAGCTCTGTTATAGCTCATCCATATGTGAGTGGATTGAACTTAGCCTTATACCATCTGCTCCAAAGAATATATTTACTGTATTGCACTATTATTTGTTTCTTAATCTTTTCTTTTTGAGGTTACGATCCGTTTGGAATATTCAAGATATATGTATGTATATTTCACATATATAAATTAGGCGCGGTATACGTTTCCAGAGAAGGTGTGTGTGTGTGTGTGTGTGTGCGCTGTGTGCCAGTCAGAGAAGGGTGTGTGTGTGTGTGTGTGTGTGTGCGCCAGTGCTCAGTCAGAGAAGGTTGTGTGTGTGTGTGTGTGTGCGCAGCGCGGTGCGCTGTCAGAGAAGGTTGTGTGTGTGTGTGTGTGTGCGGTGTGCACGCAGCCAGTCAGAGAAGGTTGTGTGTGTGTGCGCGTGTGCCAGTCAGAGAAGGTTGTGTGTGTGCGCGTGTACGTGTGCCAGTCAGAGAAGGTTGTGTGTGTGTGCGTGTGCCAGTCAGAGAAGGTTGTGTGTGTGTGTGTGTGCCAGTCAGAGAAGGTTGTGTGTGTGTGCGTGTGCCAGTCAGAGAAGGTTGTGTACTTTACAGGTGTATATGACAATAAAGATTTTCTGTTTATATCTGAAACCTCCCGGATAGTTTCTTCTAACGTTTTAACGTTATAAACCTTGTCCAAAAATATTTTTAATCCTACAGGCCTGTGTGGGAAAGGTGTCAAGATAAGTACAGTTCCTATGAATTCTAAGGAATTGTGTTCAATGTTTTAAATTGCAGCACTACGTGCAAAAGGGACACAGCACCCAGACCACTTCAATTAGATGAAGTGGTCTGGGTGCCTACTGTATCCCTTTAAATAATTTTTTTGCCAGAATGCTACATGTCAAGAAATGCAATAGGTTAGACAAGGTGGCGGACCGTGTGCGGAGCCACCCCTGGCAGTGCCATGCGGTGCTGGAAATAACATAAGTTTTCTTACCTTTTAAGGAGGGCAAAGGGAGGCAAGCCACTTCCGTGGTGGTATTAACACTATAGGGTTAGGAAAACATATTTATGTTCCTGATATCGTGTTCCTTTAACATTATCCAGCAGGAGCCCTTGTTCCTGCAGTGTCATTGGTGAATTTATTAGAAAAACATGGAGGTGGAGTTACACCTTTGGAAGAAGAGTGATTAAACTCTGTGTCTTTTGCGTTTCACAACAAAACACTGCACATACAGACTCAGGACACCATGACCACTTCAAATCACTGCGGTCATGGTGCTTGTCCAAGGGAATAAAGTGGTAGCCCAATCTACTACCCGTCATAACAACCTACTTGTCCTGACAAAAAAATTATTACATTTAAAAACACTGGGTTCCTGCCAAGAGCCCTGGGAATTGACAGGGCTATTTGCTGAACTCTGAATTTTCTAACTCTGCTCTAATCACAACACAGCTATCTATGTCTCAGTTTTGACATTTGGATATATTTTGCATAATTTGGAGTCTTGAGAATTATCCTGTGTGGCTCACCCTTGCTCTCTCATAATTTCCACCTTTTTCATTGTATGTGTGTGGGGTGCAACTATAGTCCATTAAGCCTTACTTCAGTAGTGGGGAAAGTAATGGAAACCATGTCAAAAACAGGATTGTTAAATATCTAAAGTCACATGGATTTCAAGATCAGAAAGAACGTGGGTTTATTTCAGGGAGATCATGTCATGTCACACTTATCTTATTGATTATCTTGATTTTCTTTGATTGGGTAACTAAAATAATAGATCAGGGTGGTGCAGTAGACATTGCTTACCAAGATTTCAGTAAGGCTTTTTATGCTGTTGCACATATAAGGCTTATCAATAAACTGCAATCTTTAAGTTTGGATTTCAATATTGTTGAATTGGTAAGGCAGTGGCTGAATGACAGGCAACAGAGGGTTGTAGTGTAATAAATATATATATATATTCAAAGCAAGGTCTTGCAACCAGTGAGGTACCTCAGGGATCTGTACTTGACCCATTCTGTTTAATAATTTTATTAGTGATATTGCAGAAGGTCTTGATGGTAAGGTATGTTTTTGCTGATGATACCAAGATTTGCAACAGGGTTGATGTTCCAGGAGGGATAAGCCAAATGGCAAATAATTTAGGTGAACTAGAAAAATGGTCAGAGTTGTGGCAACTAACATTTAATGTGGATAAGTGCAAGATAATGCATCTAGGGCTTAAAAGCCCAAGAGCAGAATATAGAATATTTAATACAGTCCTAACCTCAACATCTGAGGACAGGGATTTAGGGATCATTATTTCAGATGACTTAAAGGACCACTCTAGGCACCCAGACCACTTCAGCTTAATGAAGTGGTCTGGGTGCCAGGTCCAGCTAGGGTTAACCCATTCTTTTATAAACATAGCAGTTTCAGAGAAACTGCGATGTTTATGAATGGGTTAAGCCTTCCCCCAAAGCCTCTAGCGGCTGTCTCACTGACAGCCGCTAGAGGCGCTTGCGTGCTTCTCACTGTGATTTTCACAGTGAGAGCACGCTCGCGTCCATAAGAAAGCATTCAGCCGACGGGGAGGAACGGAGGAGGATCGGAGGAGGAGAGCTCCCCGCCCAGCGCTGGAAAAAGGTACGTTTTTACCCCTTTCCCCCTTCCAGAGCTGGGCGGGAGGGGGACCCTGAGGGTGGGGGCACCCTCAGGGCACTGTAGTGCCAGGAAAACGAGTATGTTTTCCTGGCACTATAGTGGTCCTTTAAATCTAGCCATACAATGTAATAGAGCGGCAGGAAATGCTAGTAGAATGCTTGGTTGTATAGGGAGAGGTATTAGCAGTAGAAAGAGGGAAGTGCTCATGCCATTATATAGAACACTGGTGAGACCTCACTTGGAGTATTGTGCGCAGTACTGGAGACTGTATCTTCAGAAGGATATTGATACTTTGTAAAGAGTTCAGAGAAGGGCTACTAAACTGGTTCATGGATTGCAGGATAAAACTTACAAGGAAAGGTTAAAGGATCTTAATACGTATAGCTTGGAGCAAAGACGAGACAGGGGGGATAAGATAGAAACATTTAAACATATAAAGGGAATCAACACTGCAAATGAGCAGAGTATAAAAGAAAAACTACCAAAACAGCAGGACATTCTTAAATTAGAGGAGCAAAGGTTTAAAATAATATTAGGAGGTATTACTTTACTGAGAGGGTAGTGAATGCATGGACTAGCCTTCCAGCTGAAGTAGTAGAGGTTAACACAGTGAGTTAGATTAAAGGACCACTCTAGGCACCCAGACCACTTCAGCTTAATGAAGTGGTCTGGGTGCCAGGTCCAGCTAGGGTTAACCCATTTTTTCATAAACATAGCAGTTTCAGAGAAACTGCTATGTTTATGAATGGGTTAAGCCTTCCCCCTATTTCCTCTAGTGGCTGTCTCATTGACAGCCACTAGAGGCGCTTGCGTGCTTCTCACTGTGATTTTCACAGTGAGAGCACGCAAGCGTCCATAGGAAAGCATTGTAAATGCTTTCCTATGTCGGCTGAATGCGCGCGCAGCTCTGCCGCTGCACATTGCAGTCCAGGAGGAGGAGGAGAAGAGGAAGCAGAGAGCTCCCCGCCCAGCGCTGGAAAAAGGTAAGTTTTTAACCCTTTCCCCTTTCCAGAGCCGGGCGGGAGGGGGACCCTGAGGGTGGGGGCACCCTCAGGGCACTATAGTGCCAGGAAAACGAATAACAGATCCTGAGAGAGGGGGAGAAGAGGAAGAGATTGAGGAAAGGTAAGTTCGGCACGACAGTGCCGCTTTAACGATAACAGTGCAGGTAACCCTTACCAGAAGTTTCAGGACTATTTGCTTGTGGAACATACGGTGTCATTTACCATTCCAAAATTACATAAAAGTGAGACACCCCCCTGGTCACCCAATTGTATCTGCGAGGTGGAGGGTTTCCTAGAGTCGATTGGAAAATGTTTGGACACTTTTGAAGAGACTAATTTTGGCACTCCCTCCTTGCAACCACTTGACTTATATAGAACAACTAACTCCTCTATTGCTTTGCAATAAACTGAAACCATGAGAACCAAGTTTCTTGAGAGGGATTACCATCTGGGGGGGTTGTTGATAGAGTCTTATACAAAAGCAAAAAGCAAATTTGAGCAAGCAACTGACACCAGTACTTCTACTCCAGCAAGGATCACATTACCTCAACGCTTCAGTGGTAGTTAACAAATCATTCCCGTGTATATCAGGAACATCTAGAAGATCCTACAGAATGACAAAACTTCCAGCTATTTTCAACAGCCTCAACTGATTAGCTACAGAAGGAATGCAAACTTAAAGGGCATTCTGATACACACTGTTTTTTTCAATCCAAAAATTGGTTCAAATTCAATTCATCCCATAATAGTCGCATCACTGACCATTGCAGTTTTTACTATGAGAAATTCTTAGTCTTGCAAACTGATAGCTAACATATTACTGATATTATATTTAATTTAATGCATTACGAAATGACAGGGATCAGAATGGGGGACAGGGATTAGGATCGGAGTTTATGTAATGCATTAGGAAATATGCATGTTCTCAGTAGCTATGTTATGTTATCAGCAACTATAATGTTACTAGCAACTGTAAAAAACAAAACAAAAAAAAACAAAGCTTTGCAAAATGGTCGCATAGACTATCGCAAAAAATAAAGCTTCACATCATGGTTGCAACCCCATTTTTAAGGAAAGGAATTGGGTATAAAATCTGCGACTATCATGTGGTGAAATACGGTATATCGAATATTGTCACCATTTGGCCTTGTCTATCTAGGCAAGACAGTGAATGACCTCCGTAAAAGGATGAAGGGCACCGGTCTGCGATATGAAGCACTGGTGAATAGAACATCCCTGTTGCTAGGCACTTCTTGGAGGCAGGACACGCATTACCTTCCATGAGATTCATGGGTATAGACCATGTTCCTGTAACCCCTCGATGTGGTGACCATGAATTACTTCGGAAAGAAGCCTTTTAAATATTTGCTCTTAAAAACCTTTCAACTCGGGACCTTAATATGATCAAGACTCTACAGTGCTTTTTAAATAACCTCTAAACTGCAATGTTACTGAGCCTGTGACTACGTTTGTGTGGTTTACTACACATGTATTTAGTGACAATATGAACTAAACAAAATTCAGTCTTTAGCCAAGCTGTACAATTTATATTGGTCTATCTCTGTCCAATTGTATATGCTTTGTCCTCGGTTTTGCTTTACCGGCGATCAACAAATAAGGCGGCATACTTCAATTATATTAATTATGAAGGACATTTGTTCACTGGCCTTAAAAGAGACACTGTAGGCACCTAGACCACTTCAGCCCATTCAAGTGGTCTGGGTGCCAACTCCTATCACCCTTAACCTTGCAAGTGTAATTATTGCAGTTTTTATAAAGTGCAATAATTACCTTGCAGGGTTAAGTCCTCCTCTAGTGGCTGTCTACCAGACAGCTTCTTAAGAGACTTCCGGCTTCTTAAACAACTCATCTAAACGACGTTGGACCTGGCTAGGCATGAGGACCTTCAGCGTCGCCAGAATCCCCATAGGAATGCACTGAATAATGCTTTCCTATGGGGAGCTCTAATGCACGCGTGGCACGCGAATTTTGTCTCCACAACCGGCGGACATAGGCGGGGGAGGAGTGTGGGCGGAGCTGGACCCAGGTACATGTCTGAAGGGGTTTTAGCCCATTCAGCAACATGGGATGGAGGGAGGCACTACAAGATTCTACAGTGCCAGGAAAACGGGTTTGTTTTCCTGGCACTAGAGAATCCCTTTAACCCCTTAAGGACCGCTGACGGTTCAGGACCGTCATTGGAAAAATCTCCTTGAGGGCCGATGACTGTCCTGAACAGTCATAAGGGTAATATTTACTAACCCAATCGCCGCGGTTCCCCCACCGGTGATTGGCGTTGCTCCCAGTCTGGGGGGACTGCCTGACAGCCCAGGCAGTCCCCCCCTCTGCGAATTAGGCCCCTACAACTATGTGATCGCTCTAACAAAGCCGTCACATGGCCGCAATAGGCATCCGTGAATCTGCCTGCAGGGGGACTGCCTGAACTGACAGGAAGTCGCCTTGCATCTGCAAAATAATAAAAAAAAATTAAAAATAAAAAAATTATAAAAAATATAATTATTATGTTATTATTTATATAGCGCCAATAAATTCCACAGCGCTTTACAGTGGGTGGACGAACAAACATGTAGTTGTAACCAGACAATTTGGACACACAGTAACAGAGGGGATGAGAGTCCTGCTCAATGAGCTTACATGCTAGAGGGAGTGGGGTAAAGTGACACAAAAGGTAAGGCTAGTATTAGACTAAGGACAGTTGCAAGAGAGGAATCAGTCGGGAGCTATTAAGTTTAATTGATATGCTTTTACGAAGAAGTGTTTTTTTAATTATTTTTTTGAAAGAGTGGAGACTGGGTGAGCATCTAAGAGGAGGGAAGTGAGTTCCACAGGACCGAAGCTGCCCTCGAGAAGTTTTGAAGGCGAGCATCAGAGGTGGGAGTACGGACAGAAGATAGACGTAAGTCTTCAGTACAGCGTAAGGGCCTAGACGGGACATACTTGTATATTAGGGAGGATAGATAGGTGGGAGAAGCATTTTGTAGAAATTTAAAAAGCAAGAACCAGATTTTTAAATCGAGCCCTATATCTTACAGGAAGCCAATGTAGGGACTGACAGAAGGGTGAGGTGTGGGTGGTGCGTGCGGACAGAAAGATGAGCCTCGCCGTCGCATTCATTATGGACTGTAACGGCACAAGTTGGGAGCACGTAAGACCACTGAGAAGCGAATTACAGTAGTCAAGGCGAGAAAGGAAAGTGGAATGGACCAGCACCTTAGTTGCATCTTGCGTTAAGTAGGATCGGATTCTTGCAAGGTTTCTGAGATGGAAGCGGCAGGATTTGGCGATAGACTGAACATAAGGCGTGAAGGAGAGGTTGGAGTCAAAGAGAACACAAAGGCAGCGAGCCTGCGTGGTGGAGCTGATGGTATCACCGTTGACTTGGAGGGATACAGACACAGGAGTAGCAACACTTGAGGGAGGAAAGACCAGAATTTCAGTTTTGGTCAAGTTGAGTTTAAGGAAGTGGGCAGCCATCCAGTTAGAAATAGCATTATAATATAAATAATAAGTAAATAAAAAAAATAAAAAATTATCTCTCAAAATACACTTAGAATGAAAAAATATAAATAAATAAAAATACAAAATATATAGATATCAATATACAAAATTACATATATAATTTCATAAATATACATGTAAACTTCAAATATATAAATATGTGTATATATTTATTTTAATTCTACGTGCATATTTATGTAATATGTTTACATAATTAAGTAATTTTATTGATTGCAATTTGTGGGACCTGCCTGACAACCCAGGTTGAAAGTCCAGAGAATTTAATTTGATAGCACTGTATTTAACCCTGTAACTTTCTATGACATCCTAAAACCTGTACATAGGGGGTACTATTTTACTCTGGAGACTTCGCTGAACACAAATATTAGTGTTTCAAAACAGTAAAACATATCACAGATGAAATTTTTTGCATTTTTCACACACAAACGGCACTTACATTGATGATATCATTGTTGTGATACGTTTTACTGTTTTGAAAGAGTATACCTACTGGACAGTGGCTGGCGAGAGAGAACTGATTAGTGAGCTCTTTGCTCAGCTCCCTCGCCGCAGAGTGATGCTGGGAGCCGGAATATGACTTCATATTCCGGCTCCCGGCATCACTCTGCGGATCGCGAGGGAGCTGAGCAGAGAGCTCAGAGGAAAGTGCTCCCTCGCCAGCGCCGCCCGCACGGATTTTTACTTAGCCACCCGCCTGCCTGGACTGTTAGCCGCAATGCTAACAAGACATTTGCCCTGGGCATTTGAGGGCGGCTTTTTTTGCCGCCCCCTGGAAAATGCCGCCCAAGGCAAATACCTTGTTTGCCTTGCAGCTAACAGTCCAAATAAAAGCAAACAAGCATGTAAACACTGGATGTTTTTAAACTCAGGGCAAAATTTTGAATCTATTTAGCAGTTTTTTCCATTAGCTTTTGTAGGTAAAAGATTTTTCAAGTAACAGTCAAAAAAAAATTATTATTTTTTTAAATTTTTCCACCATATTTTATTTTTTTTAAAGTAAAATTATATGACATGATACAAATAATATCATATGTAACATATCATTTGTATGGGAACAGTAAATGAGAGAGTAGACAATTACAGCTAATCACAAAACACAAAAGTGTTAAAACCGCTCTGGTCCTTAATGTACAACATGGCTTAAACAGTATGGTCCTGAAGGGGTTAATTACACTCCTGCAGTCTCACTGCCAGTTAGGAGTTGAATTAACTTGATTATGCAGTCCTAAGCAAACCTCACCTGCATGTGACCTACAGTCTCTCCAAACACTTCCTGAAAATTAGTCAACATTTTTTAGCTTCCCTTTTGAAATAATTTCTCATGTCTTGCTCTGGTATTACCCTGCTAGATCCTGCAGGAGCCTCCAATGTGTGATGAAAAGTAAACAAACACTCTGATCGGATTGAAAATGAAACTTTTTTTCACAGAGGTTGTGTGAGTCACAGGCAAAAGGATATGTGGCTAAGGCTGCATAAATAGAAACAAAAGTGCTCTAACTCCTAAATGACAGAATTGAGCAGTGAGACTGCAGAGTTATGATCTATTCTATACACTAAAGCTGCGTCACTAAGTTAAAGTTATTTTGCTGCTTAGAGTATCACTTTAAATTGATTGAATGTATAGCTCAGCTTATGTAGTATGCAGCCAGTGCCTGTAAGCTTGTTTGTGTTTGGGCTTTTTGCCTGAATTAAAGCTATGTTTCTCTTTCAATGTACCTACTACATATTTTCATTGTATCTTCTATGTAACTGGATCTGTTTTTGTTCGCATATCTACTTCACAGCATGTTTGTTACACACACAAGGTTGATTTTGGCTTGTCTTTGCACCTTGATCTGGTACAGTTCTGGTTTGTTGCGTTTACACTCTGGGTTGTTTTTTTTTTTTTTTTTGTTTTTTTTTACTGTGAGTAGTAACGTCATTTTGGGGTCACCCATTCAACTTCTTTCTGAATACACTCACCCTCTCATTTTAGCAGCACTTTTTAAATGTCTGTCCACGCTTCTGTCATTTGTTTTGGAAAAAAAAAGTCCAGATAAAAAGGACTGAAAAGTTGAAGTTGTATATATAGAGTTGAGAGCCCCGATCTATCTTCAGATCCCAAAATGTTTTATTTAGTTTACATTCATTAGGCAAATTCACTGACATTAAGGGTTACATCAAAATAAAACATCTTAAATTGTCCAGCAAATAAGTTTTTATAAAAGTCTTAATTTCCCTCAATTTTAACTCATAAGAAAATTTTTATTACAGTGACCCAGTTCAACAAAATCCGCATAAAGAGAAGTGAATAAAATTAGATCATTTGACTAAGGAAGAAAAGAAAATAATGCCCTTTAAGCGTTTTCGCATTTCATAAATTTGTTCACTGAGAAACCAAACACGACAAACTTTTTAGCCTTTATCCGATTGCACAACTGTACTATTGAGAAAGAGCAAATATACATGCCCTAAACTAACTAAAGCACTTAGTTTTAAAATTCAACACACACTCTTAAAAGTCCATTTACTACTGTAGCTCTTTTGTCATTACATTAAATACACCAGATAAGACTTCAAATACCTGGCATGTTTTCAATAGTTATAGATCAGGTATAGGTAAATAGAGTGCCCCCGTGGTCCCAATATGGCAGCACTTGACTTATAAATGTATTAATTACATAGGGCATTTGTTCATTGGCCTTAAAGGGACTCTCTAAGTACCAAGAAAGCCTTTACTTAAAGGGTTACTACAACCACCATAATCATTTCAGTGATTTAAAGAGGTCATGATGGTAGGAGTCAGTATGTGCCGTGTTTCAACCTGAAAAATTGCACATACAGAAAAATTGGTAATTGTGTGCTGGGCGCTAGTTGCAGCCCCGAACTCTGTTTCTGTCAGCCTAATGTCCGTTGTATGCATAAATTACGTCTGTTGTAAGTTAGCTCTCCCCTCCATCGCTTTTTTTTTCTCTATGAGAAGTCTGTGATTGGACCACACGCCAGCCATGACGTCAGGAAGTGCCTCTCGTGGCTGTCTGGTAGACACTCTAGGTGGAGTGAACTCTGCAATGTAAATTATTGTAGTTCATCAGAAACTGCAATAATTACTATAGCAGGGTTAAGGGGCCTAGGAGACTGCACCCAGACCACTTCAATGAGCTGAAGTGGTCTGGGTGCCTATAGTGTCCCTTTAAGGACCACAAAGCGGTCTATGCCATCATGCTGTGCTCACAGACTGACAGAAGAGGTGTGAACAGGGCTCCAAGTGAGTGCTGTTCATAGCCCTTTAAATACCGCGGCTGAGCGATGTCACTCATTGATCAGTATTGATCAGTAAATAGTGAAAAAAAAAAATACTTTAAAATACACACAGAATAGAAAAATGAGGAACGCAATATATCACATATTCATTCTTTCACTTGCATTTAATTTAATAGCTGTACTGTGTTATTTGCCCTAGTACAATAAAAAGGTGACTAAGGTGAGTACCTGTTTATTAACACAATTGCTTAGCTGCAAATTGTGCATTCAGGGGTTCAACAGCTATTGTTACATAGGCTGAAAAGAGACATGTGTCCATCAAGTTCATCCTTTCTCAAATCTGTTTTTGCTGTTGATCCAAATAAATCCTAGTTTGAAGTGTTTCAAATTTTTCAACAAACTATGAAAAAAGTTCTTCTTGATCCTTGAATGGCAGTCAGATCTCTACTTGGATCAAAAAGCTACTACCCCACAGATTAAAAATTAGATCCCTGAATATTAAGCTTTTGCAAGTGTTTATCCAGATGCAGTTTAAACGTCTGTAGAGACTCTGCTAAAACCAACTCTTCCACATCCTTTTTGTTTGTATGGTAAAAAACATTTTCCTTGGCTTTAGACTAAATCTCCTTTCTTCGAGTCTAAATGTGTAACCTTGTCTCCTATGTATAGTCTTGTTTATGAATAGATTTCCAGGCAATGGTTTGTATTGGCCCTGAATATATTTGTAATATTCTTTTATATCCCCTCTGTGGCATGCCATCTGTTGATCAATTACAAAATTCCAGCACTGCTGAAAGCGTTTGCACAGTTCAGCTAAAGAAATCAAAACTAAACACTAATTATTGAGAGACTTTTTTTCTCCATTCAATCAATGCCAAGTCTTGACATACAGGTGGCACTGGAAGCACTTGCTTTAAATAAATTATAGCTAGTCTATGGCGAGGTGAGTAGAAAATAAGATCAATCAACTCTACAATCTATTGAATCAGCAAATAATAAATGTATCACCTGAAAATTCTACATCTGTAAAATTCCCAGAAAGAAAATAAATTACTAAATTTCTTGCCAATATCCCCAATGCATCTAATTGATACAAACAAGAAGATAACATGATAAAAAGGTAAAATCCCTCTTGATTATGTATTTTTAAAACAATTATCCATTAAACAAAGTTTTTGTTTGTTATTTAAAATCAACACTGCTTAATGAATTAATGCCTATAATTGAGGCTTACCAATATACCAACTGCTGAAACCTTTCAATGGATAATAAAGGGATAGCTGAGGTTTGGCACTGCAGCTGCCGCGTGCTACCTGAATCTCAACCACCCAAATCATTACAAATGCATGAGGGGTTGCACAAAAGCAGAATTGACCAAAAAAAAAAAAAAAAGCCATTAGTGCTGTATGATTATTAGTGTTCTACTGACGCTCTGTAGACTGTTTGTAGATTAAGATGTCACATTCCTCCAAGATATACTTCACACATGGAAAGTTAGTATGTACTGGGCTACTGTCACTGCAAGCAGCAGTGATTAGAAATGGCACACTGTACAAAGTACATTCAACTCATGAAAACAGTAATAAGACAAAAAAATAATTACTAATGACAGCTTGCACTACTAAGCAATACTGAACCACCAAGCACACTTTTTTTTAATCACAATCAATAGATGCAACAATATTGATTAGCAATGGCAGAATGAATTAAGTTACTGTTGGTGTTTAACAAAAGGGACACTCCTAGTGACCTTATGCACCCACTAGCATGAAAGTTATATTTGCCATTTGCTTTTTTTTGTGACATAGGATCACAAAGAATACTACACTCACAATCAGTGCTTTGATATATAATATTTAAAGATTAGTAATCACAGAGTATACAAAGTACATTAAACTCGTGATCACAGACATGAGACACAATATAGATTAGTAACCGAAGGGACATTGGATCAAGGTATGTGTACTCATGTCCGCTGTCATAAGACACAATATTTATTGATTAGTAATGGCACTGGATTACAAAGTAAACCCATGACTGTCATAAGACACAATGTTTGTGGATTGGTAATGGCAGACTGTATCCAGTGACATTGGATCACAAAGTATACTCTTGTCCACTGTCAAACAATATTTATTGATAAGCAATGGCATTATAAATGTATATCAGGTATTGATTATCGATGTGCCACTGTCAGCAGTGAGGGTTTTAATGGCAGTGGGACAGAAGATGATCAATAGAGAGCAGTACATGTCAGTATTGATTATTGATTATTGATGCCTTCCACAGGTCCATTACCGGTAATAGGAGAGCAGCCCATTGCTCAGCACGAACCAGCGCCTCTGGTAGCCCTTGATGTAATTGGTCCATTTGAAGAGCCAGCCCTCCCTGGCCGAACCGGAGGCGGACCCCGAGGAGCTATTGGATCCTTCCCTTGGTGGAGCGGGCCCGGTGCCGGGAGGGGGAGGAGGCGGCGGGAGCGGAGGCGTGGACCCAGGCCCCGGTCCTGGTGGAGGCGGGGGTGATAAGGACGGGGACACCGAACCGGAACCGGAACCCGGAGAGGGACCGGAAGCGGCGGGACCCGCGCGCACCTCCGCCATCTAGAGACACCGAGCTGGACAAGCCAAAACCGGGACACCGGAACCAGAAAATACGTCATACACAGAGGGTGTGCGCTGTAGGGGCGGAGTCCTGGGCTTAGGTGACGGAAGCATGTCCGCCATCTTTACTCAGGGCAAAGGAGGAGGAAGATGGGAATACCTCCATCAGCAAATACATGGATGGGGCTCATTAAACATGTTGCGCTGTGGGCTGTCAAGAGCGCTGATTTTAATGGATGTCTTTTACAGGAGTCACACCACAGGTTATTATTTGTATTATAATAACCAATAGGACTCTATTCTCGCTTAAACTGAACCTATATCAGCATGTACAGCTACACATTATGCTCACTTTAACCATTATTGGGTTTTAAAGTCGCCCTTTATTCCCTATGGTCACAGGGCCATGTTGACCTATTTAAAGATGGCCGCCGCAGCCTCCATAGGAAGTGAGACGGAAATAAAACATTCAGCTTCGCCCAATCGGAGGCCGCCGTGATGGGGCGTGAACGGAGTTTGACATTTGGGTAACACGGATAGAAACAAGCTACACGTAATGTTGACCGACGTGGCTGGCGGAAGTAGGACAGCGAGCCACTCTGTTAGACTGTATGGGAAGTCATTTTATTATTGGTCCTTATTTAGGGTTACCAGATCCACCTTGATTTCAGGGACACATGCCACCTATGTATTATACATACTGCAGGGCTACTCTTTGCAATGGGTTTTTCATAAATATGAAAAAAATTGTGTCCCTGAAAAACATGGTGGATCTGGTAACCCTATCTTCAGTAGACCCTAAAGGACTTGTGTTACACTGCAACAGATATTAATGAGATTTATTCACTAAACTACAATCTGCAGTGATTTGCGTGGCACAATTATTATTTATATAGCACCAGCAAATTCCATAGCGCTGTACAATGAGTGGACTAACAGACACATAACTGTAACTAGACAAATGGACGCACAGGAACAGAGGGATTGGGGGCCCTGCTCAGTGAGCTTACATGCCAGAGGGAGTGGGGAATAGTGACACAGAGGGTAGGGGTAATGAAATAGGTTGCTAGAAAAGTATTCACTGAGAACTTAAGTTATTTGGGGGTGTTGAAAACTCGCTAACAATGTAAATGATATACTTTCCTGAAGAAGTGTGTTTTCAAAGATTTTTTGAAGGAGTGGAGACTGGATGAAAGTCTAACGGAGAAGGGAAGGGATTCCACAGGAAAGGTGCAGCGCTGGAGAAGTCTTGGAGGCGAGCATCAGATGTGGGAGTACGGACAGAGGATAGACGTAGGTCTTCGGCAGAGCGCAGGGGCCTCGACGGAACATATTTGTGTATTAGGGAGGATAGATAGGTTGGAGCAGCATTATGTAGGTACTTGTAAGCAAGCACCAGAATCTTAAATTGAGCCCTATATCTAACAGGAAGCCCATGTAGAGACTGACAGAGGGGGTAGGTGCAGGTGGACAGGAAAATGAGCCTAGTCGCCGCATTTGTTATAGATTGCAGCGGTGCAATCTGGGAACACATAAGACCACTGAGAAGGGGATTGCAGTAGTCAAGGCGACAAAGAACAACGGCATCGACTAGCACCTTAGCTGCGTCTGGTGTTAAATAAGGGCAGATGCGAGCTATGTTTTTGATATGGAAGCGGCAGGTTTTGTCGATCGACTGGATATGAGGGGTGAAGGAGAGGTCGGAGTCAAAGAGAACACCTAGGCAGTGAGCCTGCAAGGTAGAGGTGATGGTGGCGCCAGTGACTCAGAAGGAGACAGACACGGGAGTAGCAACACTTGAGGGAGGAAAGACCAGAAGTTCTGTTTTGGACAGGTTGAGTTTAAGGAAGTGAGAAGCCATCCAGTTGGAAATTGCAGAGGGGCAGTCAGAGACACGAGTCAGGATGGGCGGAGAGAGATCAGTAGAGGACAGGTAGATTTGTTTGTCATCTGCATATAAATTATAATGGAAGCCAAAGGAACTGATGAGTTTACCAAGGGAAGCAGTTTAGATGGAGAACAGTAGGGGACCAAGGACAGAACTTGGGGAACGCCAACAGAGAAGGGTTGGGGGTCATGACTATATACACCTAGACATCACCAAGTGGTAGGTGCAAAGTGATAAGTGCCCAAAGGATCAAAAAACCAACGTGCGTTTTGGTGCATTCATGTGTGCAGCTTCGTCAGGGGGAAAAGTAACACTGAATATAATCTTCCTTATAAAGGTGTAGCCCATGTGGGGAGTTTCATTACTAGCCAATCGCACATACCCACGTAATGAGGGGGTGTGCACTTTATTTCAGTGATGTAATTACTCATATATGCTTCCTCCCCTCTCAGTCCTGTCAATCAATCCTAGGTAGGAAGAGCACTAGGAGAGAGCAGTATCCCGTAGATCGAGATTATGAAGAATGGGAAGAAGCTGTTGATGATCAACAGTGTCAAAGGCAGCAGAAAGATCAAGGAGAATTAGGATAGAGTAATGACCGTAAGATTTAGCAGCAATTAAATTGTTGGATACTTTGGTCACAGTTGTTTCAACAGAATGACGAGCGTGGAATACAGACAGAAGCGGGTCAAGCAGAGAGTTGGATTCGAGGAATTCTGTCAATCTCGCATACACAACTCTCTCAATGATCTTGGAGGCAAATGGGCGGTACTTGAATGGGGAATTAGGGTCAAGGTTGGACTTTTTCAGAATAGGTGTTATGGTTGCGTGCTTGAAGGGTGAAGGAAATGTGCCGGAGGAAAGGGAGAGATTGAAATTTTTAGTGAGAGTAAGAGCAAGAGCGGGAGACAGAGTGCAGATGAGATATGAGGGAATAGGATCAAAGGAACAGGTGGTGGGGTGGAAGGGCGGGAGCAGAGCAGAAACTTCTTCCATTGTAGTAGTTGCAAATAAGCATAGAACAGCAGAGGGAGTGGGGTTGATTGATGTATTGGAAGGGGAGGGAGAGCGGTTAGAGATCTCTTCCCTGATTGTCGAAATCTTCTCAGTGACGTGAGTTGCAAAGTTTGAGAGGTGCCATGACGTCTAGTTGAGGGGAGAGAGTGGAGTTGCAGAGTTAGGGCAAATGAGATTTGAGATGGGTAAAAGTAGAGTTTGAAGTTTGGTGGAGAAATGCTGGAGATCAAGGCAGTGGAGGTTTCTGAGAGATTTGGAGAGTTGAGGGTGGTGAAATTTGGATATGCTGGCTATGGCGTATACCCGAACCACAAAACTAACACGGGTGTTCCTTTAAGTAGCTTTTCCTAGTTTTTTTTTATCTCCTATATCTCATTATGAAAGCCATTATCTACTTTGCCAAGTATATACTTGATTGATTGGGTAGGCTGGTAAGAATAAGAGGGATGCCGTAAGAGTTGCAGAGTACTATATGTGCTCAAGAATAAATTAGGCATGTATCTGAGAGTGGGATAGACAGTTGAGAGAGGGGAAAAGACAGGTGAGTGGTGGGAGAGAGAGAAAAAAAAAAAAGGGGGTGGGATGAGCGGGTGTTAGGCCAGTATAGACGGGCATCTGCGTTGAAGTCTGATTCATAGGTACTGTTAAGTATTGTCTGTCAATTAAGGTGTTTTACCAAAGTTTGACACAAAGTCGTACCACGGGGCCCATGTCAGGTCACACTTATCTGCTATGCCTCTTAGATCTCCATAGTACTGATCTCCTCCACCCTAGCCACCCATTGCTGGAAGGTCGGCACACCCCTGTAGGAGCAAGGGCATTAGATGAAACAGGAGATATGAGTTTGTGATGCTACAGATTTTGGAATTGATCATTTTTCAGAAATGGGTGAGAGGTGGACATGACCACCAAATGTGCAGCCTCGTCCTTGTGTCTGCCCCACATCTCCAGCACTACTCTGTGATCCTGCTATCAATGTGGTGGATAACGTCTGGGGTTCTGTACCAGTGTGTCAATATTTTAGAGCTTATGGAACCCTTATGTGTCAATGCGAACATCTTGTCCCACTCCTGTTAAGTTAGTGTCTCCCCGTGTCCATCTTCCATCTGGCAATAAACCTTTAAGGCATGTTGTTATCTCCCAGGAGCAGCATTGAGTATATCATGGACACTCCCTTGTGTACATACTTCCTATTTAAGCAGAGTATTTCATATTGTGTGAGTCCTATATGTTTGAGCGATTTGGACTTAATGGAGGTCTGTATTTAAAAGTATCGGAATCAGTCAAGGCCAGACTGACCGATCTTCCGGGAAGATCTGTCAGTGGCTTCAAATTCTGGGTTGTGCACCACTCTCATACAATGGGACAGTCGTGGGTGTGAAAGCTTTTTAGGTCTCATGGCTGCTGGCCAGGTCTGTGTTGAATAATATGGGAGTCAGTAAGTTCGGGTTCATGGTTAGTTGGGAGGGGTAGCGTAGTGTACACCATACTGCCAGAGTGGAATTTGTCAGTGGGTTGTCTGTTTTCAGTTGTGGAGGTTGGCTGCTTTTACCTAACGTTTACCATTCAGATTTCAGTTTGTTTCAGAGTTTAGTGAATAGGTATAGTTATTTGCAGGGTTACGCATGACAGGCCTCTTTACGAGTTGGCTCCTCAACGACTTGTTTTAGAGACAATCCCAGTAAGGAGTTTAGAATGTTTGTGCTCATTGCACAAGCAGCTATTTGTAAATATATATGTAATTTTCTTCTAACTATAGTTTGATATATATCTATGCATATATAAATAAAAACAAAATATACATATGTCCATATACATAATTACATAAAATTATTTCAATATACACGTAGACTTCAAGTGTATAAATATGTATATATTTAAAAATTCTACATGCATATTCATGTAATATTTTTACATAATTAGGTAATTTTATTAATTGCCATTTGAGGGACCTGCCTAACAACCCAGACCGATGGTCCAGAGAGTTTAATTTGCTAGCACTATATTTAACCCTGTAACTTTCCACAACACCCTAAAACCAGCACATGGGGGGTACTGTTTTACTCGGTAGAATTAGCTGAATACAAATATTAGTGTTTCAAAACAGTAAAACATATAGCGATGATAGTCGGTGAAAGTAAAGTTTTTTGCATTTTCCACACACAAACGGCCCTTTCACTGACAATATCATGGTTGTGATAAGTTTTACTGTTTTGAAACGTTAATATTTGTGTTCAGTGTAGTCTCCAGAGTATAACAGCAAACCCCCTCCTCCTCCTCCTCTGACCGGAATGAAGTTGTTTGTTTTGTCCCTTGATGTAATTTTTATTTTTTCATTTGTTTTTACATTGGATTGGTGTCTGATTTCTCTTTGATCATGTTTGAACTATGTCGTATAGTAATAAAGTAATCAAACTGCAATAAGTTCCTTGCAGGACTAAGACTGCCTCCACTCGCTCTCTATCAGACAGTCACTAGAGGCGCTTCTGGGATTCTAGGGGACTCAGATTGGCGCTGGAATCAGGTAAGGTTTTTTGTTTGTTTTTTAAACCCTTTGAGGGAGGGATGAGATCAGAGGGCACTATAGTGTTAGGATTACGGATGTATTCCTAACACGATCGAATCCTTTTAAAGTAAGGGGTATTTTCCAGACTAATTCAAAATGATCAGGTACCTAGTGACTAGCAAATGTGAGGTTCAGTTTGAAATTTTGAAAATAGTTAACACATAATATAGATAAAAACCTCAGAGTGGGAAGTAAATTACCCCACTAGCTTTTTAGTAATAAACTTGTTAGAGCAGGGAATTCATCTAATTATTGTTCCTGTATCATTTTGTAAATGTCTCATTGTTACATATCCCCCTGTTCAGAATATTGTTAAGTGCTGCGGAATACATTGGCACTATATAAATATCAATATTATTAACTGGGCATGTAGAAACGATGAATGTTATATTCTGCATTCCTCAAACGTTATGGTAGCAATGCAGGACAAACAAAAATTTAAGTTTTTATTGTGTTCTAGTTAAAAAAATAAATTTAAAAAAAATTATATATATATTAAAGATGCAAGTAAAGAACCTTTCCGAACGTTCTCGTATTTATATTCTCTAACATCATTGAATTGGAGATCCATCCCCAATACTGTAGTGAAAAGGTACTTATTATAGTAGCAAATTGCCTTGCCAGGTTGAAAGAATAAACGGCCTTTTCTGTCAGATTGTTTTTTTAGTTTATTTTTCATACCAGCTCCTCTCCATAAGGACTCTTGATTTACCAAAAGGCATTGTTATTAAGGCCATGATCTTCTCTATCTGCACATCCTCTCTGAGATCAAGTTTCCTTGCATTTCAGTAAATTCTGTATGCTAATGACACGCTAATCTCATTTCCCAGACCTAACAAATTCTCTACTAACTCATACTAATGAAGTCAGAATTCTTCCTGAATGACACCAGATTATCTAACGTTAAATGTTATTGAAATAGACTGAAAATTTCATGGTTTGTGTTTTTATGTTCAACTCCAAGCACATAAAAATCTGTCTCACAGTAGATAGTTTTGCCAAAATTTTAACTAATGACAGTTTCACATTGAGCCTATAACTGTAGGATTTTCAAGAGACCCCAGTCCTTTTGCATCCATATCGATACTGGTTCTTAGATTTTATAAAATGTTGGCCACAAGTTAACTTGTCAGAGTATTGCTAACTTTTTAATAAAATGGTCAGGAAAAGAGTCTGTTTCAATACTTTGTTTATTTACACATTAATATGTATTTTAGTTGATAATAAAAGATACATATCTTCCAACATTAAGCTGAATCTCGCCTGTTTTCATGGTGCTATTAATTGGATGCCATTTAATATTCCATTCTTTTAAAAATCATACACAAGCAATGAGAAAAGATTGGTTCCAGCTGTGGTCTAAAAACATTGCAACCTTTTAATTGTTTGTACTGTCCACTGTTGTATCATTGTACTGGGCCAATTCTTTCTGTTGCTTTGTGATTTCAGGCATTATTGTGCCTTCCAAATACTCCAGTTGCACCTGAGTATATGATTAACATTTCACATAAAAACCCCAAAGCAGAGAGGGGCTGAGAAGCATCTTGTGCGGCTGCTTCTGTGGCCAATACTAACAAACATCACCACTTTTATTGTGTGCTGGATGTAGAGCTAAGGATGGAAAGAGAAACAGAATTAGTTTATTTCTACAGCCAGGAATGTATTTCAGTTACCATCACGAGTTAAAGGTATAATTGCAAGTCATTTACACAGTAACATTACAATTTAGGGTGAGGAAATAAAATACGTATGACATATAAATAAAGCTCATATTGCACATCTAGAACTATAGAAACTCTTCTATTCGATCGCTTAATTTTTTAATTTTTTTATTATTCTTTCTTTTTGGTGTGCACAAAAGTAACAATTCTCCTTGGTGCGCCACAACAGCGACATCAGGGTACAATAGTGAACATTTGCATTACAGGTTGTGGGAATCGATTGTCAAGCACATGTTTTAGTTAGAAATAACAAAATTGAAATAGTTTAGGTGCTCGATTATCAAACATTTGAGTGTTCAATTCAGTTGTAAATTATAAACACGTTTAGTTCAGTATCTTAAGATCAGTGTTCATGTTGAGTGTCATCGTTTCCGTCTCTCGATATTGGTTTTATTATGCTTATGTATGCGTAAGAGATGGACATGCATTTTGTTTAGTGAAATCTGGTCTAAATAATCATAGCAGATAATAGGCTAGACCGCAAGTTTACATTTCAAGTTATGCTAGGAACCTTGGCATTACGTGTTAGACAATTTCTTCGCGTAACATGCGTAACATATGAGTAACATGCACAGTTTTTAAGGTATAGAGTAAGTATATATGATAAACAAGCTTGAGCAGTGCAGTTGCTAGTCTATGACTGATGCAGGTAAGGCGGGTTTGCAAAGCAAATTACTTAGACAGGCTAGTGCTATTAAAGCATAAAATGACATTCAGGCTAGGTCTCATGCGATTACTTTAGAAAAGTTGGTGTTGTCTACAGTAAGGCTACTTTAACTAAAGCAAATGGTCACACCGGTTAGTTTAGTATATCGATAGGTAAAAGCTTAAAACATGCGTTCATTTATCCACCCCAGGTTAACTCCCCGCCAGCTAGATAAGAATCAGTGTCTGTGTGCCGTGAGGCTTGATTATGAAGTGTGGTGGCTACAGAGGGTCAAAAGCTTGGGAACTGCCATGTGAGGCACAGTCCAGGCAAGTAGCAGAGTGATAGTCCCCTTGTGGAGTACTTGCGAGCTATTGCAGTGTGCCTCGGGTGGGAGTCAAATCCCTGCGGCTATGTTGTTTTCAGGGTGACCTCGCAGCTGCGGACTTTCGGTCCGTGTGAATCGGCTTCCTCACGGTGCTCTAAGAGGCTCAATGTGCAGTGCTTCGTCGCTGGGGCCATGTCTCTCTCTTCGAGGAACCACTGAGTGCTCGTGGGTGTGCCTGAGTAGTAGATCGCTGGTATCGATCTCAGCTTTATTGCTTTGTATTAGGCTGGTAGAATAACAGTGGGTGCTGTTCTTTCGCTGTGCAGTATTCCTCACTTTTGAGCTGGTGTCAGCTCAATCGCTCTAGCAGCTCGCGCACATGGCGGCAGCCATCTTGTGGACTGGCGCCCGTGTGTTGTTCCTCGCCAGGGTGGTTGAATAAGCCCAGGTTGGTGCGCTGGATAGTGCTGCTGCAGACCGGGATGACCCCCCCGGTCCAAAGGGGGGGGGATGCTAGCCGCCGGCCAGGAGACCCGGGAGGTCTGAGCCCAGCCGGGTTACTGTCGGTGCCGGACAGGCTCCCATGCGGTATCCCCGTTCTCCACAGTGACTTGGGGTCTGTGTGGTCATCGGTGGGGTTTGCCAGCCCTGGAGCGGGAGCTCAAACAGAAGACGTCTGATCCCGTCGGCGGCCAGGTCCAGCCCCTGATCGCTTAATTTTTAATTATTATTCTTTTTAAACAAAAGTGGAGTGTTTTATCACTGATTTTAAAGGAAGTAAAAATTTACAGTCTTCATAAGCATGCTATTTATTGGTTCTATATCAGATTAGCCAACATCTACTGCAAGACAGTTGTCCATTTGAATAAGAACAACAACATGTTTTCAGAGGTGGTTTAAAAGTCAAGACAGATTTTCCTATACAAAAGCAAATGTTACGATTTTACCTGAGTTTTGATTGTAGTTGACTAAGATTCTGAGCGTCAAGGTATCGTGAAAAGTGAACCAGAGCATTGCCTGGAGAGCAGGGGGGCTGGGACAAGGAGGGAGATGGTGTCTGCAGGATACATTGAGCTATTTGTGCAATTAGAGATGTCCTGAAGATGTGGAAAAGGAGCAGAAAAAGAATGCAAATTATTAAAATTATATTCTACAGTATGTTAAGGCAGTTATATCCAAAAGATAAACAATCCCTTAGCAAAAAGCTGAAGTGGTCTGGGTGCATATAGTGTCCCTTTAACCCCTTAAGGACACATGACATGTGTGACATGTCATGATTCCCTTTATTTCAGAAGTTTGGTCCTTAAGGGGTTAAGGGAACCTAATTGTAATGTATACTCCAACTTCACAGACAGGAAAAGTAAGAGCATAATCTCACAGTTTTACAAAAACTAAGCAGGAATGCTCAATATCAACACCAAATTTACTTTTAGATGTACTGAAAAATCATTCATAAAAATATCAAATGTCAACATTATAAAACATATATGCAACACCACAAAAGCAGGGCTTGACAAATTTGTTTAGAATCTATGAGCCAGCTAAAAAAGTTAGCAGCCAGTATAATTTTCAACCAGAAAAATGCAATGCTTAAGAGACACTATAGACATCAGAACTACTACGGCTTAATGTAGTTGTTCTGGGTGTCTATAGCCTGTACTTGCAGACCTTTTAATATAAACATTGCCTTTTCAGAGAAAAGGCAGTGTTTACATTGCTGCCAAGTAACAGACACTCAGATGGCCACTAGAGAATCCTTGGTCAGTGCTGCACAGTGTGCAGCACCTATGTTCAGCTGCTCCATGCTCTGTGCGGAGGAGCTAAATGTTTCACATAGAGATGCATTGATTGAATGCATCTTTATGAGGAGATGCTGATAGGCACATTGTTTTGCTGGGCATGCCCAATATCCTCCTTTGGATGAGATCATAAAGACTGATTATTCCAGCCATGGAGGCAGGAGCAGCCATGGCGAAACTAGCACGGTGTGAGGGAAAACTGTTTGTAAAAACACATTTTAAGTGCAATTGGAGGGGGACAGGCACCCAAACACACACTCTGACAGACACACACTAATAGAGACTCTCTGACAGACAGACACCCAAATCCGTGTAGAACTAAAATTTTGTACAGCAACCTATATTGAATACTGATATGAAGATTCCCAAAAAGTGACAAAGTTATAGGTGTGCAACCAAATTTAAAAAACAGTGTGTATATATATATATATATATATATATATATATATATATATATACATACATACATACATACATACACATACACACACCTTAGTGTTCTCAATAAAGAGGAAACAGTCCCAGTATCCATAAGTATTATAATTTACACTGTAAAATAGTGAAAAAAGAATCCTTTAAAATAAACTTGCATCAGCTTTACAATGACGTTCTTGGTGGTCTAGAACACAAAAATCAAAATAAACTCATAGTGCAGCAATGTAGTATAAAATAGGATTGTATATAGAGCTTTGCCAACTCACAAATGTGGAGTGGTTGAAGTACCACTCCTAACTGTTAAGCGTAGGGAGGATCAGATCCTCGTGTGCATTGGATCCGAATGGGGATATAGTATAGACTCACCACCAGCTGAACAATGTATTCAATGCTTTATTCTGGTAAAAACTTATAGGTGAGGCTCACAGTGTATCAGCAAAGTCCTTAAATAGCTGAGATGCAGTCCGAGTGCGCTCTCTCTTCCCTGATACTCCAAGCTGATTTCCGACTCCACTGCACAGTGTCCCTCTGTCAACTTACGCCCCGCCTCCGAGGGCTCTCTCAAGCAAGTAGTAAGTCCTCCCATTCCACTCCTCTTTAGATCATAACGTCTGTCACGAATTTTACCTCTTAAGGGTAAATATCCACATAAAGTCAACATGAAACATAACAATGAGCAATAGCAAACTGAGAATGAGAAACATTACTATAAAACCATAACGTACAAACCCCTCTGTGGCCCATAAAAAAAAAAAGACCTGAAAAGTAGAAAATGTAAAAAAAAAGCCTAATCCAATCACTACGGGCAGATCATCTAAATCCCACTATGCTTGGGGAATAGCAACAAATAATTAAAAATGGAGACATTTAAAAATTGCCATAATGTACAAAACCCCAAT